CAGGAGGGAGAAGAGGAAGAATGGTGGTGTCTGGTTGTGTGTGTGTTTGCCCTCTTCCCTTGCCCTGCCCCAAATCCAAATATGCCTCTCTATCTTGAGGTTGCCACTCTGTGTACTCGTCACCATAAGACTTGTCACCTTGAATTGTACTGTCTGTTCTGAATCTCCTGAGACTGAAAGGTGGGGGTGGGGAGACACCCTCTCCTTCCAGCCTGTTCTTCACGTGCCCACACATGGTCTGGGGTAGGGAAGGCAGATGTGAGGATAGGTGGGTGGGGAAATGCAGCAGGGCAGGGGCTAGGAGGTGATGGCCACCTCCACCACACGAGGCAGCTGCCTAGCATGGTGCAAAGGCTGAGGTGGGAGCCAGGATGAAGGACTGGCTGAAATCACTGGGTCCCCACTGACTCCTAGACTTTGACCACAGGTTTTTGCCCAGGAGTTCTTTGTGGTTGGGAAGTGGGGGTGGGATGTAAAGCGGGAGTGACGTGGAGGTGTGTGGGAGTTGAGAGAAGGGACTTGGTCTGCAGCGGACTGGAGAGGTGAACAGTGAGAGCTGAGCACTCTGCCTTTTTGGTTCTCTGGCATGACTGGCTGGGAGTGGGAAGGTAGGGCTGGTAAGTCCACCTCACCTCAGTGCTCAGAGAACCATATCCTCAGACGTGATCCATTTTGCAAATAAAGAAACAGACTCAGGGAGAAGTGACTTGCCCAATGGCTCTTCTGAATCCCTGTCCAGAGTTCTTTCTCCCAAACATTGTGGTGTCCTCAGGGAATGGTTTTGAAAAGGGGGTGGAGGCTGGAGTGGGAGGTGCACTTACCATTTTCAACCCTCAGTCAAGGGCTGGCTTCCTCCTAGGTCACAATCAGTACACAGGCTCTGGAGGGCAAAGGACTGATTGTTTTAGGGGCCAGGCATTACGTTAGGCATTATGTTAGACACTTCACAGACATTATCTCATTTTTAAAAAAATATATTAATTTATTACTACCACCATGGGTTCAAACATAGCAATGCTTATGAGGATGGTGCAGGACTGGGCAATGTTTGATTCAGTTGTACATAGGGTCGCCATGAGTCAGAACCGATTTCCACAGCACCTAACAACAATTTATTACTTTATTCCTTTTTCTTCTTTGTACTGTGACCTCCATTATGGCTGAATTCTTACAGTTCACTAATTTACTCTTTAATGTGTCTATTTTGCCATTTGGTTTATCTATTGGACTTTTAATTTTTATTTTTTTAATATAATTTTATTTATTTTGTTGTTGAGAATATACACAGCAAAACATACCTCCTTTGGAGGTCTCTTCAGACAAACACCAGGCAAAAGGAAGACCACGCCAGGGGGGATCCCTGTGACCAGATCAGATACCTCTTGACCAGCCATGCCCATGTGTGCCCAGCGGCCTACCTGCCTGGCCCTGCAGCTCTCCATTTGCAGGGCTTTCCTGAACAGTGCCAGCCCCAGGCCCTCAGGGTGGCAGCTGCTGTTGGTCTGGGAGGGGCTCCCCAGCTCTAGCTGACAGATTCTTGGCTCTGGGATATCCCTGGGGGACTCTGGCTGCTTAGTTACTCAAGCTGCTACCGTGGTGAGAACCCAAGAACATGAGGGAAAGTCAGCAGGAATACCAGCTCCCTCTCTCATTCTGGTTCCTCTTAGGAAATACAGCTTCTTTGCCAAGAGCTCTTGGACTTTGGTGGCTTTCTAGAACTTGCCCAGGGTGGGTACATTTGAGCCCCTTCAGCTGTAGGCCAGAGGCTGAGCTGACCTGGCAAAGAGGCGCAGTTTTGGTGTTTCAACTTCTGGGCTAGGGGATAAAGTTGGGACAGAAGGAAGAGTTGGAGGTAACTTTGTTCCTTGAGGCAGAGGCAGTAAATCACCTCACACCTAGCTGGACAAAGACATCTGCTGCCTTTATTTTGGGGGACAATGTGGCCTGCTCAGGAAGGCCTCTTCTGTGCCTCTGTGTCCAATCTTGGCCAAAAAAAAGAATTCTCTAGACCAGAGGCTGGCAAACTATGGCCCATGGGCCAAATCCAACTTGTCACCTATTTTTGTAAATACAGTTTTATTAGAACTAAGCCACCTTCATTTGTCTATGTACTGTCTATATAGACACTTTCACACTGCAACAGAAGAGACCATGTGATCTGTAAAGCCTAAACTATTTACTGTCTGGTTCTTTACAGAAAACATTTACTGATCCCTGCTCTAGACCTACAAAGATCTGGTATCCTGTTTCCCAAGTTCAGAGAGGCCCCCTGGACTAAGGGGATGAGCCTGACCCACACGGCAGTGCTATGAAAACAAAATTAGGAAGTGAGGGCAGACAGATAGATGCTGACGATGGTTGGGCACCCCACACAGAGCTGGAGGGCTGCCTGGCACCACAAGTGAAAGAGAGCTGTTCCCTGATCCTCTGACCTCTCCCTTCTCTGCCCCATCCTACTTTAGTTTTCCCCAGCATGGCCAACAAAGGTCCCTCCTACGGCATGAGCCGTGAAGTGCAATCCAAAATTGAGAAGAAGTATGATGAGGAGCTGGAGGAGCGGCTGGTGGAGTGGATCATAATGCAGTGTGGCTCTGATGTGGGTCGCCCAGACCGTGGGCGCCTGGGCTTCCAGGTCTGGCTGAAGAATGGCGTGGTAAGTGGCACTCTGGGAAGGAGGGCTCAGTTGTGCCATCCTGCCAGAGTCCTGGGGGCAGGCACACTGCACTGAGTGCCAAGCTGTGTCTTATGCCTGGCAGATTCTGAGCAAGCTGGTAAACAGCCTCTATCCTGATGGCTCCAAGCCAGTGAAGGTGCCTGAGAACCCACCCTCCATGGTCTTCAAGCAGATGGAACAGGTGGCTCAGTTCCTGAAGGCAGCTGAGGACTATGGGGTCATCAAGACTGACATGTTCCAGACTGTTGATCTCTTTGAAGGTACAAGGAAGAAAACGGGCTGCGGGGGAGAGGGAGACAGGTGGACAGGAGGCTGAAGCAGGGAGAGGGAATGATCAAAACATGCCATAATGAGGAGTCTATGAGTCTGAGCATAACAGGAATGGGATATGCCAAGAGAATACCACAGCACACTCACAAGGCCATAGTATAGGTCCTACTGAAGCCTCCTTTGAGTCTGGACTTTTGCTCCTGGTTTGGCCATTTTTGGTGAGAGATGGGGGCAGGTCCTGGCTGGGAGTCTTGTTTACAGAGTCCTGAAGTTCATCCTGCCTTCTTTCTTCTCACAGGCAAAGACATGGCTGCAGTGCAAAGGACCCTTGTGGCTTTGGGCAGCTTGGCAGTGACCAAGAATGATGGGCACTACCGTGGAGATCCCAACTGGTTTATGAAGTATGTGGAGCCCCAGGGATTCCCTGCACTCCAGGCTTGGAGCTCTGCATTGGGGTGGCAGATAGCTTGGACTAACTAGTTTGTGGGAATGATATGGGGAAGCAGATAACCAGGGAAGTAAGAAGCAAGGGACTAGGATGGGGGGTGGGGGGTGGAGGGGTCCCTAATACTTCTTGTTTCCTTCTTTTCTACCTTCCTATGCTTAACCAGTCTGCTTAGCCTATGGGCAAGCTAGATTGAGGAGAAAAGAGAAGTGATAAAACAGGAAGGGAATAGGATTGGGATAGGAACTAATAGAGGAATCAGAAAGCAGGTAGAAAACAGGAGGTCCTGGCAAGTCTTTATCCTGGTTCTTCCTCTTCTAGGAAAGCCCAGGAGCATAAGAGGGAATTCACAGAGAGCCAACTGCAGGAGGGCAAGCATGTCATTGGTCTACAGATGGGCAGCAACAGAGGGGCCTCCCAGGCTGGCATGACGGGCTACGGACGACCTCGGCAGATCATCAGTTAGAGGGTGGAGGGCCAGCCCTGACTCCTGCCCTTCCCCAGCTCATTGGCAGCAGTCATCCCGCCTAGCCTGCCTCACCCACACCTGTGTAGTTCCTGCAGCTTTGGCCAAGCTTTGAGGCTCTGTCACTGAGCAAAGGTGACTGCACATGGGCAGCTCTCCCCCACCCCTCAGCCTCAGCCCAACTCCTTACCCCATAGCACAACTGCCCTGGCCAGCCCCTCTCCCAGAGCCCTCCCCCCTACCCCCACCTACCATCTACCACCACCTCTACCATCTCTCCCCATCCTGGGCTAAGCAGGGGGGACATGGGCTTGGGGTAGCCTGGGTGTGGGCCAAGTCCACAGTCCTCCTTGGCAGCAAATCTCCATTAAAGGAGACCCAGCCCAACCTCCCCCTCCTCATTTTTTTGCTGGAATATTTTTAGGGTCAAAATTCAAAAAGGAAAAAAAAAAATACATCAATCTTTTCTCAGGCCTGGCTGGCAGAGTTTGATTTGCACCACCCACTTCCATCAGGGTTCCAGGAAATCAGAGCAGGGAACATGCAGGCTCCTTGGGTTTCTGCATGTTCCTGTCATTCTCTAAAGGCCCCTTTGCATTCCGGGAGTCCAGGAGGTCAAAATCTTTCAAAGGAACTGGCCACTGGAAGAGGAGAATGAATTTTGGGGACAGAAGGGAAAGAGGAGCAAGTTGGCAACTTGCATTAGATTTGAGGCAGAGGAGAGACGATGGAGAACAGACAGAGTGATTTGGAAGGTTTTTATTTTGGAAAAGCTGTGCAGAAAAAAATTCAATAAAATGTTGCTGTGAAAAGAGAAAACCGAATCTAAAGCATTAAAAATATTCAAATTAACCAACTAGCTCAGAAGAGGGGAGGAGGCCAAGAATGGGAGGAAGAGTCACAGTCTGTCAGGTAGACAGCTGGCCTCCGGGGGGAAGGCCATTTCCCTGAGCACTTTGCAGAGGAAGACAGGGTGGTCGCAGGGCTGGAGTGGCAGTGGCTTCCAAGGCTGTCCTCTAAACCACACACATCTGACACGAGCTCCGCAATCCTGCCATGGACTTCCCTGATGATGCAGACCAGGCTCAGGGAGCCCTGTTCATCCCAAGCTTTGCCAGGAGCATCGTACCAGTCCTTCATAAGCAGGGGAGGAGAGGGATCATGGAGGCAGCTGCTTTCAGGGCAAGAATGCTGGGCTGAGGACTAATTGCCATACCAACATGTCCAAGGTCCGAGTCTTACACAGGAAGATGAGGGAGAGATGGGACAAGTCAGTTGTTTCTGGGCCTTAGGTCATTAAAAGGACAGGCATGTCCAGGGGCTCTTCCCAGCCTCCACCCCTGAGCCCTTTTTCCAAGGGACCTCAATACTGTTTCTATAAAGATGCTCTTCTGGCCATGACAGGCACCTTCTCACCCAGGCATGAGTGGAGGTCCCCATGACCCACACCACTGGCTTGCCCCCAAGAAATGAGGAAGGAGGCCTGCCCACCTGGGGCCAATCCCTTGTCCAAGACCTTCACAACAAAAGCTTCTTCTGTTCAGCTGGAGGAAGATCTGTGGCTCTCGCTCGACTGTTCCCTGGCACGGTTCTCTGCCACGTGTACCTTGAGAAGGCCCTCACCCTCTCTGAGCAGAGTTAGAGGATACTCTTTAGGCCTCAGGATTCCAGATGGGAGCATCAGGACTGCTTTATCCCCAGAGTTCCCGGTTAGGTCTGGGAACTGGGAGCACTTTCCAAGCTTCCCCAGTTTGGGGGAGGAAGAGCCTATCCCACTGTTGAGTCTGTCAGTCCCTGAGGTCAGCACATCTGCTCCTCATCCTTCCCCTGCAACAGGTCTGGGGAAAGGTGCTGATGAGGGGAGTCTAGGGCACTCCTGATGTGCTGGGACAGACTCCAGTTCGCTTGATCCAGCAGGTCTGGGGTAAGGGGACCAGAGGCGGTGGGAGGGCCCCCACTCTCAGTCTCCACCTCGTCTGGATCCTTGTTGGCACAAAGTGGCACTGATTCAAGCTCTGTCCCCTCCTCCCTGGCTTTTCGGCTCTGTTGGGGCCAGTGGCAGGGTCCACTCCTACAAACTGGGTCAGAGGCCACATTCCTGTGGCTCAAGTATACCTCCAGCATGTAGTAAACTGTCCAGAAGGTGGTGAAACAGCCTATCAGCACCAGGGTCTGGAGGGAATTGAAACACTTAATTAGGGACTCTTTCCCAAAGCCCCAAGGCTTTCTTAGCCCAGAACAATGAACTCAGAAAGTCTTTCTCCTTCAGGGGGCTCCCTTACCCCTCCTCCCAAGGATGCCTTCTGAGTTAGTTAGTAGAGTAGGAACAATGCCATGAAAGCACCGTTGGGACCCAGATCTTCCCAACCCCTCATTCCCCAAGTCACCTTGAGTAACACACCAAGGGCTAAATCCCCCAGGCCATTCCCACCTGCATGTAGCTTTAGTCTTGGCCCTAGTACCTTGAGAGTGTTAGGGGTGATGGTGTAACCATCCTCCTCAGGAATTTTCAGTCCAGGTGGGCAGGGCAGAGAGAAGCCATCATGCAGGTATTTTCCACTCATGGCACTTTCTAACAGCCTACGGAGAAGAAAAGGGGAGACAAAGGCACCCTACTGAACGCAGTTCCTGTACTGTCTGTCCTCACCCATTCTCCCACCCGACAGCCGAAGAGAGGGAAACCCCACTGGGAGAAAGGGAGGCGCACACTCTGGGTTCCCTCTGGGTTCTACCTACTGGCTTAAGTCTGCAGCTGGGAAGCACAGCTGGGGTTCAGAGGGAATAGGGTGTCCTAGGGGCCTCTTTCTTCCTGCCACCCCCTCATAAGTTGCCTTCCCTCTGACACATGCAGCTATACCTACCTCTGTCTGTCCCTGATGTCTACTGCACTCCACACAGAGCCATATAGGGTCAGCTGCCACCGCCAGAGGATGCCGGCCTGGAGTGGCTCGTCTCCTAGGGCAGCAAACAGGGCCGTCCCTGAGCCATGCCCCTCTGTTGACCATGCCAAACAGCAGAGGACCTGCCCACCCCACCATCCACACCAAGCGACTCAGACCACATAGTCTGCTGTAGCATTTGTCTGTGTCCCACTGACCCCAGAGTGCTGCGGAGGCACCTCAGGGGTGCCCTGGGGACTGAGAGGGGGAGGTTGAAAGGTGGTGCTCCTAGTCCCTGAGTAGAGAAATTTTGCTTTCATCTCTTTCACATTTTTTAGTTTTAGCTGGGATTTTGCTTGGGGGCTGAGGGTGGGGGGGGGGAAAGTCTTACTAAATCAAAGAAATTTTGAAAACTATCCATCTAGTGAATACCTAACGTGCCTGGAAGTTAGGACACTGAGGTTCAATTTTTAGTTTCTTCACTGCTCTACCGTGTGACTTCACACAAGTCACTCCAAACCTCCAGCCTCAGTTCTTCCAAAAAATGGTGAAAATGAGTCCTGCCCTTACCTGCCTACCATGAGCTGGCTGAAGGATGACTACATGTGAAAGACCTTGAAATGTAGTTTCAACAAGGAATTTTTGTTGCTATCCTGAGGGAAAATGGATCAGTCGCTTCACCAAGGAATATGAGAGGTGGTACAAATGAACAGCTGTAGATATATATGCCCATTTTTTGGACAGGGCATACTTCTTGGCATCTACCCTATGTATTCCACATGGGAACTGGGACCATTTCTCTGGGGACTCCAAGATCCAGACTGACAGATGGCAATCACGAAAGGCAGGGCCCTGGTGGAGGCTCACCTACGTCCCTGATAATGAGTCTGTAAGTTCCTTTTGCCCTTTCCCCCCAGCATCGCACAGTGGAGAAGGTCCAATCGTTGAAGCCATTGGGATCCCTGGGAAAAGAACAAAGTAGAAAACTTGGTAGGCATGGTGAAGGCAAATGATCCTTTCTCCAGGAAACATTATTTTCTTACTGTAATAGCCATGGAAATGCAGCTGTTGTTGCCTGAGCTACAGCTATTTGGGAATGTGCCATGAGGGGTCCTCAAGTGTTGTCCCCTTGGCCCTCGGGTCTCATGGAAGGAGAGACTTGTGTCAATGTGGTGTAGTGGAAAAGCAAAAGTGGAGCAAGCATAAGCTTTGGAGTCAGAAAGATCTAGGTTTATATTTACTTCTCAGGTGCTTAATAGCTCTATGACTTATCTCCTCAGTTTCCTCATTTGTAAAAGGAGGTTACCAAGTCTACTCTTCAGGGCTCTTATAAGGATTAGAGAAAACAGGTAAAGTGCAGTGCCTCACACAGAGGAAGCACTCTGCTTAAAGCACTCCACAGATGGCTTCCAGCTGCCAAGGACAGCCAGTGACACAACAGCTTAGGACACTGTCAATTTCCAATTTTCTCATATCTTTTCCTTGAAAAGGCTCTGGTTGCAGGTACACTTACGAGTCCATGCTGCGGGGGGCGCCGATAAGGGACATCATGCCACTGGGGCAAAATAGTTTCAGTTCCAAGCTGCCGCGTCGTGGGTGAGTGATGGAGACTGTCACTGCCACGTGCTCCAGGGTCTTCAGCCCTGACATATCCAGGTCCGTCCTGCTGACTGTGGGAAGTCAGGCTGGGCAGTTGGGAAATCAGCCCCATAAACACTCATGCCCTCACTTCATCCCAACATACACAAAGGCACACACTCAAAGACACCATCATTGGAGCCACATACAAATATCTATGTCTTTGAGGCACACACTTAAAGGCACCATCACTGGAGCCACATACAACCCTAGGTATTCCACATGGAAACTAGGACCTAGTGTCAGTAAATGGAATGCAGATGCTCTCAAGGAGTTTGCAATATAGTTGGTAAGACAACACATATCCAAGACACAATGTAAGACCCAAACGGAGCAACTCTAATCATTCATTCATCCAAAAAATAATTTACTGAGTACCTACTACATTTCAGGCACTGCACTAGGAATAGAAAGAAAAGTTGGACATGGTCCCTGCCTTCTACCTGCAAGTGGAAAATGATATGGTATGAAGCATACATAATTGATAAGGAAACAAAGATAAGTCAGAAGGGTTCAGGCATATCGCAGTGAGTCATGCTCTGAAGAAGGAAATGAATACAGACTGGCAGAAAGGATTGGCAGAGGGTATTCCAGAGGGGGAAAATGGCATGTACAAAGGCAAAGGTGGAAATGAACAAGTCTCATATTGAAGACAATACAACATTAATTTTTTTAAAAAACTACTGTAGTGGATATCTCAAGGAAATTATGCTGAACGAAAAAAGCCAATCTCAAAAAGATGACATACTGCACTATTCCATTTATGTAACATTCATGAAATAACCGTAGAGATGGAGAACAGATGGGTGGTTGCCAGGGGTTAGGAGTTGGGGAAGGGGATGTGTGTGGCCACAAAGGGGTAACATGAGGGAGTCTTGTGATGATGGGAGAGTTCTGCATCTTGATTGTGCTGCTGGTGGTTATGCAAGGCTACCTGTGTAATAAAATTGCACACAGCTACACACGCACACACACACAAATAAGTACATGTATAACGTGAAATCTGAATAAGCTCTATGGATTACACCAATGTCAACTTATCAGTTTTGACATTGTACTATGTTGTGGAAGACACTAACACTGGGACTTCTTCCCTGTACTAACACATGACTTCCCTGTACATTTCTTTGCAACTTCCTGTGAATGTATAATTATTTCAGAATAAAAAGTTAAAAAAAAAAAGAAAAACTACTGAAGTGGAAGACTCATTTGGGGACTATTAAGAGATTAGGTTCTAATGCTAAATAATTCTTACTAAAGTACCTTTCCTTCCATTATCTCATTCCAACAGTCAAGACAGAGAGTAACATCTTCATTTTACCAATGAAGAAGCTGAGAGAGGTACAGGAGGTGAGGAGTAGGGGACCTAGGATGGGAGGAGCTTTAAAATACTTATTTAAAATAAGCAACTGAGAGCTATTATAGATTACTGAGCAAGCATTGAGTTAAAAAAAAAAAAGTGCTGAACGAAGGTTACTTCTAATAGACGTGGGCAGGATGAATCAGAGTGAGGAAGAAACTAGTGACAGGAAGACCAGCCAAAATGCTACTGCCTTATTCTAGGGGTGAGGAAACCTGAGCATGGATAACTAGGATTGAAGGAGAAAGAGGAAAGGAAAGGCTTTCTATTACACCACTTTCAGCTCCTCCTAGTCCCTGCCCCTACTGACCTCTGCTCAGTTTCTCTCTCACTGTGTTCACTGAAGAGTGTTCCTTCCCGTTATCCACAATGACACTCGTGTTCATGAGGACGATGTGTCCGATAACATAGCTTCGGATGTCTTTACCCCCCTACTCCAAAGACCTTTCTCTAGCCCATGGCAGCCACTCACATCCATGACCACACCCTAGACCTTGTCATCACCTGGACAGCTTTACCTCTGAATGGTTCAGTAACATTCACGGTGGTTTTTCTTACTACATAAATAATACAAACTAACTGAAGACAAGTAAGAAAAGTAGATGAGCAAGACGGAAACCAAAAAAGTATCCACGATTCCTGATCACATTTTGGCAAGTACCCTTCCATCCCTCTCTCTGGGTATGTACGTGTGCATGTATACGTTTTCTTTAATTTCATCTGTCCGCTCTTAAAACTCAAGGGCCCCCTTCTCTGATATCACCTTCTTGATTCCTTCATTTCCTTGCAAGCATCAAGCTCCTCTTTCCTAACTGGTTTAGATCCCACAGCTCATCTCTTCAACCACTCTCTTGTTTACACCCTCAAGCTTCCTTGCTTTCTTGCCCTTTCCCAGCAACTATCTGGCAAAAGTCCAACACTGGATCAGCCCAATTATCCATTTTCTTGGCTGGATCTTCTTGCTTACATCTTTCTTATTACTGATGAAAAACAAAAACAAATCAACCCATTCTCAACTCTTCACTTCCTTCCACCTGCCAGTGGAGCCATTCAGCCTAGGTTCAAATCCCAGCTCCGCCATTTACTAGCTGTGAGAAATTGGCTAAATCACTCAACCTCTCAGTGCCTTAGTTTCCTTATCTGTAAAATGGGGATAATAATAGAACCTATAAGGTTGACGGGAGGATTAGTTAATATATGTAAAGTACTTCGAAGTACCTAATAAATATTAGGGCTACCTAAGCATTAGATATTCTTTTCCTTTACTGTTAGATTTCTAGAGAAAAGCTGTATATAATCACTGTCACTACTTCTTACCCTCCCATTCATCCTTAACGTTTTTTTTCTATTAAAGTAACATAGTATAGATAGCTGTAAAAGCAAATTAGTTTTGGAGCACTTATAATGGAAGAGAGCAATTCCCTAACTCACTCCTTATCACCATTGAGACCCACTCCCTAGAGGCAAACACGTTTTATTGCTTTTAGCTGTTTCCTTCTGGGATCTCCCTCCATGTTGCTAAATAATCAGCATATACTGCTGGTTTGTCAATTTCAGACATTATTTATTGACTTTCAGTTATGGCAGATGAGGATTTGTCACTTCCACCACTCCCACTCCTTCTCCCCAACTTGTTCTCTCCTCCATCTTCTCAAACTAATTGCACAACTCTTGGTTAGGTCAATATTTTGGGTTTACCTTATATTGGCCTTATAAATATATGCAATTTATCCCTGTAGTGTGCAGTACTTATATTTCCTTTCCTGTACAATTTGTTGTTTTCTCCCCTGGAGTTAATAATTGCCTTGCTTTGGTTTACTTAACTTTCATGTCCCTATCACAAGTTCTTCCCAAACTATACCAAAGAATGACATAGCCTTCCTTAATACTATTTTTCAAATGAACAAACAACTCAATGCCATCTTCCCCTGGCAATTCAAGCTCTGGAACCCTTTGTCCCACTGCTATGTGGGCGGCACTGCTGCTGAGCTGGGACCTTCCTTCACCGCTCACCAGGGCATGTGTGCACACACTCTCTCTCTCTCCCTCCTTTACTCTTCTTTCTTCTTTTTTTCTGTCTTCCTTCCTTTCCCTTCTCTTCCTTTCCTTTTCTTGGTTTACCCTTCATTGCAGAGGAGCAAATCTTCTAGTAGTTTCCAGATAAAGGGCACATGAGAAATATCTTGCATTTCTAAAAACATCCTTATTCTACTTTCACATTTGATTGTTAAGGTGGGTATGGGTTTATTGATTGGTAAGAGTTTTCCTCAGAATTTTGAAAATTTTTGGAGCCATTTTTTTCAAAATGGCTGTTGAGTCCTAGTATTTTCAGGAGGCAGTTGGAAGCTCTAACTGTAGGTTGGAATAGAGCTTTTCAACTGGTGGCCTTCCCTACAGTTAACTGGACTAGGGACCTGGTTGTTTCGTTGGAGGAATTCCACTAATCATAGCTCTAAGTCTTTTCATAAGGAGTCATTCCATTTCTCCAAAGAGGAATCTTCTAATCTCCTGCCTTGGGAAATAAGCCTGGCTGCCAGTGCCCCGGTCTGGGTGGCTGGCTTAGTGGGGAGGTCTCCTTTTCTCAGTAGAGTGCCTGTCTCCCACTTTCTGCTGTCTGAGGTCCCTGACTCTGGATAATAAGCTTCCCATCTCCTGTCAGGATAAGGAAGGGGTCATCACCTGGCTGCTGAAGACGGCAGAACCAAAACCCACCAAACTCATTGCCGTCAAGTCGGTTGACTCTTAGCGACCCTATAGGGCAGAGTAGAACTGTGGCTGGTGGATCTGAACTGCTGATCTTTGGGTTAGCAGCCACAGCTCTTAACCATTGTGTCACCAGGGCTCCTGGAAGCCTAACTTTAAATTAACCCCTATTTTTAGTCTCATACTTCATCTCTGCCTTCTGAGATACATGGGGCCTCCAAGTCCTGAGCCTTTTTGGATTCTGTGGCATGAATGGGCTTGTTTCTTAGTATCCCCCTTTCAGGTATTTGGTATTCAGTTTTCTCTGTTCGTTTTCCATTTTCCAAAAATTTGATCTGTCTCATTCTCTTTGTCTTTTTTTATTCCTTTATTCTTATTTTGGCACGGTTTTAGGAAAGAGTAGAATAAAAAGCATATGTTCAATTTGTCATGTTTAACCAGAAATCTCCTGTCCCCCATTATTCAACCAACTACCATCTAGCTTTTGCCCCTATAAATACATTGAAACTACTCTTCTTGAGATCACTGATGGCCTCTTTGTAAAACCCGGTTATGCTCTTCATCCTTGTCTTACTTGCCTTCTCTCATGGAAACTGTCCTTAATTCCTGTGATACCATTCTCCTGACTTTTCTCCCAACTCGCAGGCAATCCCTTCTCTGTTTTCTTTAGAGGCTCCTTTCCACTGTCAGCCCCTTTAATGTCAAGCTTTGTCCTCAGCTCTCTTTTTTCCTCTGTCTATCTAGTATTCCTGGTGATCTCATTCTCTCTCAGACCTTTTTCTTCCATCTTTATGCTGATGACTCCCAAATCACTCTCTAGTTTAGACCTTTAAACTTAGGTAGTCAACGGCCTTCTAGATATAACCTTTAGATGTTGCACAGAAAGATCAAATATAGAACAGCCAAACAGACTCCATTATCTTTCTCAATTCTTTTCACCCCTTAGCCCTTTCCCAAATTGATTCTTCCTCCTGGGTTCCATTGGCATCACCACCTAATCAACTGCCCAAGCGAAAAACTTGGAAATCTTTACATACACACACACACACACACACACACACTCTCTTGTATTTATTATGGAAAATTTTAAACATATATAAAAGTAGAGAAAACAGATTTTCTCAATATCTAATGTCAGTAATTATCAATATGTGGTCAATTTTGTTTCATTGATGGACCCCACTTCTTCCCCTTCCCAGATTCTTTTGACGGAGTTCCAAGGCATCATATCATTTTGTCAGTAAAGATTTCAGTAGGTATCTCTAAAAGATAAGGCCTTGGGAATCTCTTTGACTCCTTTCCCTCTCTCTCGCTGCTAACATGAATTGATGATAATTTATTTTGAAGGCTCCGCAAGCCTTCAGGATCAAAACCAAACTCCTTAACATGGCACACATGGTTCTCTCTGGCCTCTGCCACCTCCAGTTCAGGTCTTCCTCTGCCTCCTCACACCTCACACTCCAGTCATACTGAATTACTTGCAGCTCCCTGAAGATACCGTCAACTCACAAAATCATGACTTCGCACATGTTGTTCCTGCTGCTTGGATGTCCCTTTCCTTACCTGTCTTCCTGGTTGCCTTATATGTTAAAACTCAGGTCAGTAACCAGTTTCTGTGAAAAACATCTGCTGTCTTCCCCTGGTAGCAGAAGGTATCTCACCTCTGTGTTCCCAAAGCACCGTGTGTCATCTCTACCGCAGTGCTTAGAACACTGCACTACACTTGTACACTGACTGTCTGCCCTGCTGCATAGTGAGCTCGAGACTGTGAGGGCAGGATTAGCATCTGACCTCGGAATCCCTAGAACTTAGTACAGTGCCTGGGATGAGGTGGAATGAATGAGTGAATCAATCAAGAGACATTTCAGAGAAATAAATGAAAATACTAAATTGCAGGCAAAAAGATTAGGGAAAGACCCAGGGAGGGCAAGGGATAAAGAACTGAAAACTCCAGGGGTTCAAGTCTGCGGGCCCATGGAATGGCAATGGCACTGACAGAAATGGGAGAAGCTTGGAAAGCAAGCTGGCTTCTGGGGGGTGATAATGAAGTCTAAAATTCTGTGCATATTAAATGTAACATACTGGTGGAATATCCAAGGGGGCACAGTGCTTTAGGAATAGAAAGATGAAGGACAATATTCATGGCATAGTTGAAGGAGAGTATTAACGTGGTAGAGAAGGGACTTACGGGTGAGTAAATGACATGTTATGGAACATTATGGAACAGAAGAGAATCCAAAAAGGGACCTATGAGTGCTTGTCTGTGTTAGCAGTGTACCCTGTAGCATGCTACGTACATATCTCTTATTGGTGTGTGTGCAGGGACTTGGATGGCAATGCATGTGAGTGTACTAGAATTATTTCTACTAGAATTAAATGAATTAATACATTGAGTTAACACTTAAAAAAGTGTCTGGCGCATAATAAGCACTCAAGTCTTGGTGTATAATCATCATCTTATCATCACCATTATCGTCATCATCATCATCATCATTTAGCCTTCGGTAAGTTGGGGTCTTTTTCAACTCTCATCCTCTGTCCCAGAAGATCCCGGGGCTATATCTGCCCATCATCTTGTAGAAACTATGAAAATCTTTATCCCTCTCATTGGTAAAGGATCAGAGTAAGAGATTTGGACTTGTTAATGAGGTGGTAGCTGAAGCTGTTAACACAGATGCACCGTCTGAGGAAGAGAATGTGGGGGGAGCATACCGTCACTGAATGAGTCATAGGAGACACTTGTGGTTTGGGAGTAGTAAGAAGAAACAAGTACCTCCGGCAGAGAAGCCAGAAGGGGCTATGGAGCAAAGGAGGTCACAGAAGCTAGAGGAGGAGAGAGGGTGAGAGTAACAAGGAGGTTAAGAACGATGAATTCTGAAGTGGCCCCTGGATCTAATCAGGAAAGGAGCACTGTGAGTAGTAAGTCCCCAGTGGCAGAAAGTGTATGCAATAAAAGTCAGCAATTGCTTTAGTTAATTCATTTGGAAAGGTTCTAGGTTGAAGCGTGGCAAGGACTTTAATTTGTTTCCAAATAGGTGAACTGAGGATGTTTGAAGGCAGAAGGAAGAATAAGTGGAGAGGGAAAGACTGGGTTTAAGAGGGAAGATGTGGAAAGGGGAAGGAACCGCATTCTTCTTGCATTGCCAGAAGAGTCAGCCAGTATACTGAGAGAGAGTGAATAAGGATAAAGGAGAGGTGCAAGTGGGTGTTCAGGAATCTCCCAATACACACAGACTCTCTGGTGTATTAGCCATTCCTCCCCAAACCCCACTCTCCCTCCTACTCTCTGGTAGAGAGTTCAGACCCAGAGTCAGATCTAAAGAAACTGGGGCCCCCAATCCCTTTACCCCCATATCCTCCTGTCAGCAGGGAGAAATAAAAACCTGTCTTGCTCCACAGCTGCACTGCACAATATGGTAGCCACTAGCCACATGTGGATATGTATATTTAAATTAGTTGCAATAAAATTAAAACTTCCATTCTTCAGTCACACTAGCCACATTTTGAGTGTTCAATAGCCTCATATGGCTAGTGGCCACTGAACTGAGCAGCGCAGACACAGATCATTTCCATTATCACAGAAAGTTCTACTAGACAATGCTGCTCTGGAGCCTTAGCAGTATTTCACCTCTTATTCTATCTTAAGGATGTTCAGCTTGCTGAACCTTACAAAAAGTTCACTCTTCAGCCCCCTAGACACTGAATCCCCAGGTCCTGGTGGAAAGACTACAGCTTGGCTGTAGGGGAAGAGGTTTCCTGACTTAGACTGAGTTGGTCAACTCTACATGAACTGGACTTACTTCCTTCAAATGCCAAGCAGGCCCACAAGCTTGTACCTTCTATTCCATCTGCTCAGGAGTAAACGTAGTTATGTCAGAGGGGAAGATATCTTTGCTCACCTCAGAAATTAGCAGTGCTCCTGCTTGCTGCCTTCTAAACAGATGGTCTCCACCAGCAAAACTCCCTGAGTCTTTACCTCTCTTCTCTTCATCCTTCTCTCTCCATTATACCACCTCCCACCCTGCCCCACCTAGGACAACTTGTCCTTATTCCTCTTGCTTCCTAGTGACGAACACAAGCAGTTGCCTAAGAAGCCTCAATACCTAGGAAAGTTTGTTGGACATTCTGGGCAACATCCACTGGTTAGCAGGAAGCAGAGAATGATGAAACTGGAAAGGACCCTAATATTCCTCTAATTCAACTTGCTCATTTGACAGATATAACTGTGGGTTACTTTATTACTTAAATGATGGGAAGAAACCCTGGATGGAAGATGAAAGTTAAAAGGTATTCTATCTCCAAGACATACTTGCACAAAGCCAGGTGGTTCCAACTGAACTGCATTCTTGGGAATGTTCCTGTACTTCTCTGCCTTGGCTGATGCGTTATGCCCTTCCCAAGACAGCATGCCTTTTACGGAAAATGCAGTGAATGGGGCCCGTGGATTTCCTTTCACATAGAGGGAAACTGGGCAAGCGCTGGACATGATTAAGGAGAGAGACAACTGAACTCTTCTTGGTAAAACCTCCACTCAAGGGGAGCTGCCCAAGTCGCCCTTCTGAGCTCCTTTCTTTGGTCGTTCCTTCTCCTACTGCTGTTCTGGGTTGGTCACTTCTTAGGAGGATGGGAAAAGTGAGGACGGAGTTGTAGTTTGAGCACTGAGCATGACGTGCTCCAACCTTCACCAAAAAAGCAGTGAATAACTCAGCTTGTCAAAATTCCTCCAGGAGCTGGATGTAGGAGAACACTCTGAAGTGGGAACTCTAGGAAATCTATGGACAGATGATCCTGTAGCAGTGTTCTAATCCAGCTCTCTCTTATCTGGGAAAAGGTTCAACCTCCGTGTTTATCACAAAAACCACACCACTGACCTAGAAGATGTACACCCTTCACCCCTTCAGGACAATCCTCGTGACTGACCCTGGGCTCTATGGAGGCAGGGGCAGAGGAGGGGCAACTGAAGTCTTGAGAGACCTCTACACGCTCCTCCACACCACCCTAACAGACAGATCTGACTCTCTTAGTATTAGATAAGCATGAGAATCAAAGGAAGAAATTTCCAGCTTCTCAACTTCATCCAAAGTCCACTGCGCTGAACAGAGTTGTCTGGCAAGTTCTTAGCATGGAAGTCAAAGGAACTCTTTCAACTCTTGCCTAGTCTCCCCAAGTCCCAAACCCAGTCCTCCCACCAGCCTTTCTAATCAGTTGCTCAGCAGCTCCTTTCCACAAGTAGTAACTCAGGAGAAAGGTCTTGTTTTAAGCAGCCAAGGGGCCAGCCAACTCAGAAGCAGCAACATGTCCTAAAATGGTCAAAGAAAACTCCACAGGTTTGGCTGGAGCTCAGCTCCTAAAGGAAGGGGGGTAGAATCCGGCAGGGAGGATGAGTTTAACTTCCCCATCTCCCTGCCCAAAACCTCAGGCCCCAGATTAACCCCTTCTTGCTGACTACTTACCATTCCACAGGACCTCCAGGGAACGGGGGGAAAGTGGAATAGCCTTGTTCTCTTTTAACACAGGACTGACATATGAAGCTAAATAAGGGACAGATGTCCAGACCTATTAAAGGAAAGGGAGGAATGCGGGATGAACAAGCAAGACTGATTATGCATATGCACACACACACACACACACACACACACACACACTCATCTATATGATGTTTAAGGCCTAGCCTTCTTTTTACTTTTCCTCTCCTTATTACTTTATGTCACTCCAAGACCTCATGACTCCTGAGGTCTTGCTGACACCCTGGAATTGTAAAATGGGTTTTGGCTGGGATGAAGATAAAAGTGGCCAAATAAACAAAATGAGTGAATATTTAAGCACCCACGATGTGGCAGGCAATGTTTCAGGCAGTTAGCCCCCTCCCTGGGTCACTCCACACAGGGTGCCCTGCCCTGCTAACACCTGTTCACCTTGGCTGCATTGACGAGTCTCCAAGCGTTGAGTAGGCCAAAACCATGCTGGTGGCTATGGCTGAAGCCTGCCTCATTGGTGACCCAATCTGCATGGCGATCCTCGTACTGAAAGGACAGAAGTCCTGATTACTGTCTTGCATTCCCAGTGTCATCTTAACATCCTAAATCTGGTTTCCCTGCCTGTCTGGCTTATTGATCCCATCCAGACTCTCCCACTAAGGCTACTAAGAATGGATCCCCAAGCAAAGCTGGGACAAAAGGTCAAAGCCCCATGATGTCACCATCCCAATGGCTTGCTTCTAGAGATGGGAGCCAGGAGGTACAGGCTCCAGAGTAAGGGAGTCCAACCAGAGCTCTCCTTTGCAGGTAAAATGGCATCAGGCAAATCTGCTGCCGTCAAGTTGATTCCAACTCATAGCGACCCTATGGGACAGAGTAGAACTGCCTCATAGCGTTTCCAAGGAGCAGATGGTGGATTTGAACTGCTGACCTTCTGGTTAGCAGCCGTAGGTCTTAACCACTGCAACACCATAGGTACAAATGAGTTCAGGTCTGTGTTGAAAGGGACTTGGCACCTAACACTTGGGACGCTTCGAATCTGAGGCCTCCTGATACCCGCAAATCCTTAGAATCAGAACTAGGACTCCTATTACCTCCAAATCCTTAGAACCAGAACTAGGACTCCTATTACCTGCAAATCCTTAGAACCAGAACTAGGAGTCCTATTACCTGCAAATCCTTAGAACCAGAAGTCTAGGGTAGGCTGGGCCAGGTCGTCTGTCCACCTGCTAGAATCTCACCTGGGTGGCTGTGAAGACAATGATGTGCTGGACATCACGCCATGTGAGGCAGGGCCGCACCTGCAGCATCAGGGCTATCATGCCAGCTGCCAGAGGTGCTGCGGCTGAGGTCCCTGTGTGGCTCTCAGTACAGCCTGTGCCCTTCTGAAGGTCCCAGTCAGTGGTCACCTGAGAAGTGAAATGGGCAGGGGAGTGGGTTAGAGACTGAGTTGAAAGGTATTGTGAGCAGAGGGGACAGGACTAGTCCTCAGACTGGAACTCTCAGGTGGGCCCTGCTTTTGTTGGAGCTGAGTCTCTGACCAGAGGGAAGCCCTCTAGCAGGTCAGGAAAAAGGAGATCCTTAGTCCTTCTAGGCCCACAAGAGAACCTCTGAAGAACTGAGAAAAGAGTAGTAAAAATGAAGAGTTACTTAAAAGGGTCTGGTTGTAGGCGGAAAGAAGATGGAGCCTTGGGAGAGGCCCTAAGTGCAGAGAAGGGTTTTCCAACTCTTGCGCCTCTAATAGCCCATTCCCAGATTCTCTACCCCAACCCTCCAACCTCCACAGCCATGCCAGACAGAGGAAGTGGCCGGGGAGCTCCTGGGCCCCAGCTGGAGCTGGGACAACAGTGACGGCACCATTCAAGGAAATTCAACTTGGCAGCTCTGCGATAGGGACTGGAGTGACATCAGTGCAAACGAAGGGTGTTTGTTCCCAGGGAGAGGGAGCTGCCTCCTTGTCACCCTGTGGGTACAATGTGGGCTTAGTATCTACACTGCCGGCCTGCCCTGGCAATGTACCAACGAGCTGACTCACTACTCAGGGCCGGGTGCCTCAGCTTGGTTTCTGTGAAGTCTCCCTTCTCTACCTCGGTTCTGAGGTGAGAGGCGAGCACGGGAGTGGGGAGGAGGAGAGCTGCATGTGTGTGGGAGGGCATGTGTCTGGCATCAAGTTCTCTTCATGTTGTAATCAACCTGGAGCCACAAAGGGTTTCCCTGAGGAGGGCCCTGCCGAAATCTGTCCTCCGCCATGAGGAACTTTGGATCCCTAGGCCATGGTGCCAGTGTTAAGACCAGAGAATTTCTTTCTTCCAAACTTCTCTTCTGGTGAGACACTAGGGGTTGACTTCTGCCAAGAGCTGCCCTTCTCCATTGTACTCACTGCTTCCCTCTCAGCTGCCACAGCAGCTGCCAAGAGACGTAATTTTCACTCAGACAGCACGCACTCCCAGAAGGGAAAACAATTCTCTAAGTTGCAGTCTCAATGAGAGTGGGATGCCGGGTCTGTGCCAGGGAGCAGATTGATTTCTTCCCGTTAAGGAAACAGCCTCACGATGACAGTCTAGTATGTGGCTGTGAAGTCTGTGGGCTGCCTTCTGGTGGCAGCGCCCCGGCAGTCGCAGGCAAGTCAGGAAGCTCCCACAGACGGCCAAATGGTGGTAAGCACATGCCTCCATGGCCTGCCCTCGGAGACAGCTCCACCTAGCTGCCCCGGCCGTTACATAGAAACTGGCAGCGGGGGTTCCAAGAAAAGGACATTCCAAACATGGGAACTTGGCTAAGCAAACTCTCCTTTCCTTTCTGGACGAATTACAGTTCAGCTGGAAGGCGAGGGTGGGGGAAGAAGTTGAGCTAGGAAGAGAAAAGGCAGGCACTGCCAAGCAAGGGTAACGAGTTATCCTAGGAAGCCTTCTTCAGTCGCTGGCTGGAGTGGGGTGGGCTGGGTCCCCTACAGTTGTACCGGGGGGGGGGGGAAAGCATAGCGGCTCTCGCTCTCCCTCCAAACCCAGCTCGGCCTGGGAGGGGGGTGCCCTCTGTGCACAGAACCCAGCCAGCTGAGCAAAGCCTCTCTCGCCCTTCTGATTTAGTCTACTCCCTTTCTCTTCTCTCAGGGCATGGGGTGGGGAGGGGTCAACTGGCACAGAGCCTTGGAACATTGTGTTGACCAGAAGTCATTTATTGGCAAAACAAAACTTCAGTTTTGGAAAATGAATTTGACCCAGTGGGAAGACAAAGCAGCCTAATTCCCAGTGCACCCCCCCACCCCAGACCTCCCACCCTGGCCACTGGAGAAATCTGACCCCACGTGGCTCCAGCCCTCCTCTTGCTTGGAGCCTCCTGTCCCATATCATTCTATTCCGGGCAACAGGGACAGGCAGAGCATTCTAGGATAGTAGTCTAGGCACCTGGTTTTAACCTCCTGAGGGGAGATAAGCCCAGCAGGGTGTAGCAACAGACCCTGGATTCTTTAGAAGAGTTCCACTGGCTGGAGAAGCACCACTCCCTTGCTCTGATCCCTTATTTGCTATGGCTCCAATCAGAGCTCTAAGGAAGGACATTTCCCTGATTCCTTTCCCACCCATCCCATAAAGACAACCACCAGGTTTACTCCTGAGGATGAAAATGACCACAACTCGCAGTATTTACATAAGGGCTGAATAGCAATGGAATGATGATGCTCAGTTTTCACATCCACAGCAATTAGCCAAAGGCCAAACTCTACGGAATGGAGACTTTCCAAAGAAGTTGTTTAATCAACGTGATGCTTAGTAGTTCTGATAATGATACATACTTTTGTAAGTTAAAAATTTTAAGATACAAAAGCAAAGTGAGAAGGCAAGAAGGGATAGGAAAACTGGACGAATGCAAACAGGGAACCCCGGGTGGAGAAGGGCTGAGGGGTGACACATCACGGGGTTGGCAACCAATGTCACAAAACAATTTGTGTATTAACTTTAATGAGAAACTAATTTGCTCTGTAAATTTTCACCTAAATCACAATTAAAAAAATTTTTTTAAAACATAAGAACCACTTATGCAGATTTATTCAGAGTCCTTAGCTCTATTCTTCCAACGGTGGCACACCTTAAAAGACATAGATCTGCTAGGGCAAAGGAACCTGAGGGGTAGGACAGAGAAACAGGGAACAAAAAGAAGTAAGGCTGTGATGGCTGAGAGAAGTCTCAAGCACCAGGGGCAGGGGAGGAAGGCCAAGGAGGCACTCACAATGCTCCGGAGCATCTTGTCCCCACCACTGAAGGTGACCGCTAGCATGGAGGCACACTCCTCTGCGTAGAAAGGCATCCGTCCCTCCTCATCCACAGCACCTGGGATAGAGGGGGACCAATGGGAGCTGAGATGAGGAGTCAGTCCTCTAGCAAACAACAACAACAACAAAAAAAACTCGTTGCCAGTAAGTCAACAAGTGTTAGAGTAAAACTGTGCTCCATACGGTTTTCTTGACTGTAACCTTTACAGAAGCAGTTTGCCAGGTCTTTCTTCCGTGAAGCCACTGGGTGGGTTCCAACCACCACCCTTTAGGTTAGCAGCCCATCCCAAACCGCTCGTGCCACCCAGGCTCCTGGGCAGGGGCCTGATAATATCAGAGTTATCTTTGAGTTTTCATCTGGGGGTTGTCCCAAGTTTAAAAAATGGTTTCGGTGGCCCAGGTCTCCCAGAATGCCCATGATCCTGACCCAAGCAGGCAGCCTCAAGTGGCTGAGCTCCCTAATACCATGCTTTCAATAGGCTCCAGAGTAAAACTGGAGGCACTGCACCTCTATACTTACTCGCTTATTCATCCATTTATTTTCTCACAAACATTTACTAAGTATCTACTATGAGTAGATCAGGCATTGGGGCCTGATGGAAAAGGCCATCGTCCTGATCTCAAGGAGTTTAGAGTCTAGGAGGAAGTTTGGGAAGTAAATGAACACAATTTGGGAGTGGCAAATGCTATGACAGGCAGCACAGGTAAAAGGCACTCAGTTTAGGCCAGTGGAGAGCCAGGGAAGGCTTCAAGCAGGAGGCAAGTGGCCCATGAAAAGAGATGCCAGAGTAGAGGCTAGCCAGCTGTGGTGGGGGTGGGTTGAAAGTGTTCCCAGGGTACAGTGACATCCCAGGACATTCTGAGAGCCTTCGCAGGTCTAGTCCCTCCTAACTATCTGAGCCTGCAGATTAGCTCACGCTCACAGATAGACAGACACCCTGGAGCAGGGCCACACCAGAAGACACTCTCCCTGAGTGACACAGACCCACACAAACAGACGGAACCACTCGGTCGCTACCTATGGTGACTGTGTAGATGGAGTTGGCGTAGCCATCATAGTTGCAGTTGTCGTTGTGCTGGCCCCCATTGCCACTGGCTACCACAAAGATGCTCCCAAAGCCCTGGCGCCCAGCCATCACCCCATGTTGTAAGGCAGCCTAAGGAAAAAAACATTAGAGTATTAGTAGAAAAGCTCTAAAGACCTCTATCCACCATACCCGTCACCCTCTCCTGCTCTTCTAGAAAGACAAGGGGAAAACAGCCCAAAGGGCACTGGGCATAGAGGAAAGATTCAAAGATGAGCATAAGATGGGGAGGAAGTTGTTAGTTGAGCAACTGTTTGATGAATGTTCTGTTTATCTGACGATAGGGCCGGGCCGGGAATTGGGGGCTGACAGCAAAGTCAAAGAGAGACAATCTCATTCTTCCATTTATCTCAAAGAACTAGTGCTCCCTTATGCCCCCATACCCTTCCTGAAAGAAGGCAGTAGGGCTAGGTGGCATAGGTCTGGCACTGCACATGGGGGTGGGCTAGGGAGAGGACCTGAACAAAGTGGGTGGTCTAGGTCTCCCAATGGCCTCATGCAGTTACCTTTCCGAGCTGATGGGGTCCATCCACTGTCTTTCCATCATCATCTGGTCCCCAGCTGTTGAGGAATAGGGTAAAGAAGCAGGGCCAAGCTGTGGCTACCCACCCAAGGCATCCTCGTCTTAGTTGGCTGCCCTTCTGCCTGGGGATCTTACTATTCTTCCATGGGTTCCAGTTCAGGATCCCTATGATTAGCAGGTATGGAGTTTAAAGAAGTTCCCAGGACCTCCCTCACTCCAAAGTGGAAAACACAAGTATATGCTAAGGTCTTCTTTTCCTTGTATACTTGCCAAGTTTAGGACTACTTTAATGTGCTCCTAAAAATCCTGTTTTCAGGTCCCAGAGAGCAGTAGACTGTACACAGTGGTGGACAGGGATACAGTGTCAGCCCTCTCCTGATCTAGGACTCTAATACTAGGCTTGATGGTAGGATACACACAAAGGAAAAGTTCAATCTGTGTAAGTTCTTGGTTTTCAGGCTGACGAGTTCTTTACTCTTTCTCTAAGAGGGAGCATACCTTCTGGATGATGTCATGGATTTAAGGGAGGTACTGGCTGGGGGGAGGTGTAGATGCCATCAATGCCATGGGGGCAACCCAATCCCAGCTCCTCCTTATCCACCCCACTCTAACCATAACCTGAAGCTGCATGTGTACTCATGCGTGTAGGGTGGCAGGGGTTGGTGACAGGCCTTAAGCTTCCCTGTGGTTGGAGATGAAAATCCACTTTCTCCCAGAGGTCTGATGAGTTTAGGGAACAAATAAATGGGACTGTGGGGCAGGTTTGAGCACTCCTCATGTGGTAACTTGACTACTGGGGGAGGAACACTTGGTTCTAAACGTGAGACTGAAGATGGAGAAGCCAGTGGCTGGGGATTTGGAGAAATCCCCATGGAGGGCAATGTACTTAGAGCCTCCCCTTAAGCTGAGCTCCTTGAGGAGATTCCTGCAAGAGTCAGCCCAGTGTGCTGTACTTTTGCTGGAGGATTACTTCCAGGTGCTCGAGTCTCTGGCCTTCTCACCTGCTTCCTTGCTATGCCTCACCTGCAGCTGTAGATGTCATTGATCTGATAGTGCTTGTTGAACGCCACAGCCTCCATGCTGTCTGTGAGGGGTCCATCCAGTACCCGGATACCTAGGCATTAAAGGGCACATCAGCTAAACAGTGCTGGTCCCCTAGATGTGGAACTGAGTGATGGGGAGCCATAGGTGGGAGACTTACTTTTCACTGTTTGCTCTTTTGTACCTTCCGAATTTTTGTACCATCTATATGTATTGTTGTTGTTGTATGATGTTGAGGGTCTGACTCATGGTTACCCTACAGGACAGAATAGAACTGCCTCATAGGGTTTCCTAGGCTGTAATCTTTATGGAAGCAGATTGCCAAGTCTTTTCTTCTGCAGAGTGGCTGGTAGGTTCAAACTGCTGACCTTTTAGTAAGCAGCTGAGAACTTAACCATTGTGCCACCAGGGCTCTTTGTATATGTGTTACCTATCCAAAAATATTTTTTAATGTAATGTTGGGTCTTGGACTTGAAGGATCACAAGGTCTGGTGGAGTCATAGGCTAAAATGTAGGTCACCAAGGTTCCCTTCTTATCTTCATCATCAATCATGTAAAACACCTGGCACAGTGTTTCACACATAGGTGTTCAGTAAATGGTACTCATCACTATTACCACTCCCATGAAGCCCAGGTGGACGCCTAGTTTCACCCTCTAAAATGCGGTGGGTCACATCCTGATGACCGCATAGGGACAAAGGAGGCTTTGGGAAGAAGGGCCTTGGACCTTGAGGGTTTCTGATTCCCTCTGTAGCCTTGTTTACATGAGACTGCTGCCCTCTGCTGGAGTATAAGGGGAGTACAGCCAATCTATTGAGTCGGTAGGTTTCCAAGCATTTATTAGGAATCATGGGGTGAGAGGTTCCCATTCATTCCCTTCACCTTCTGCCTTGATGGACAAAGACTGAGAGGTGAAGGAGCCAAAGAACAACCTCCAGTGGGTGACAGGGCTGCAGCTTCTTAAAGGATGGAGAGCAGACAGTGACCGTCAGTAGGACTGGAAGCTGGAGAGGTAGAAGATACAAGAGAAGCTTCCACAGACAATGGGGTCATGGATGAAGATCAAATGAGAAGGCACTTTGTAAATTACGAAAACACAAGTATGCAAGTAGGAAGCAGTTGAGTAAAAGAAGTCATTATTACAATGACCTGGGTCATAGATGGGGCATAACCAGGAACAGAAAAAGGGAGGAGACTGAGCAGGCAGGGCTTGGGACCTCAATCTCCCACATCAAGAACACTTCTGCTTTTATTCTATGTAGTGAGATTTTGCTACTGAAAACAAGTTTGAAAAATTATTGCACTGAGAAATCAACACAGTGATTGGTCCTACAGAAACATAAGCTTACCCTTTGCTCTACACTGGGTGTTGAGGGTGGGATAAAGAGGTTTCAGAGTGGGGGAGGGGCAGAGAATGACGACTCATCGCAGCGGAAACCTCCCAAGGCCAGACTGGAAGACTGAGTTACCTGCTATGCGGCTGCCATATGCCACTCCCACTGCACAGAAGCTGTTGTTGGGCACGGCAGCAATCTCTCCTGCACATCGGGTGCCGTGGTGATTGCCATTCTCCACATCTGGGTGAGGCATGGGGTCTGGGTCATTAGAGTTGAGGTCATAGCTGCCCTCAGGGCTCTGAAATATGAGGTGGGGGGTATATGTAGTCATTCAATGGTTAGAAGAGGTCAGGTCCTGGAGTTCAGGGAGAGAGGGAACTGGAAGTTTGGGGCTCCAAGCCAGGGCATCAGGCCCATCCCTCTCTGCAAACCACACGCGCTACAAGTTTTTTAGCACAGGACACATTGGGGCAAAACTGAGAAGTGCCACAGCCCTCAGTAGAAACTTGTCTCTTGTCTATTATAGGAATGCGCCCAGGAGACTGCTTCATGGCTGGGGAAACCTGGGATAAAACAGATGTAAAAACCAAAAAAACAAACCTGTTGCTGTTGAGTCGATTCCGACTCGTAGGGACACTACAGGACAGAGCAGAACTGCCCCATAGGGTTTCCAAGGAGTGGCTGGTAGATTTGAACTGCTGGCCTTTTGGTTAGCAGCTGTAGCTCTTAACCATTGCACCACTGGGGCTCCCAAAGAGATTTAGGGGTACCTAAAGGCCAGGCTTTAGAGAGCAGGGTACTCAGAACTTCTGTGGAGAGAGAAAAGCCTATAAAGGTCACTCCATAGTTGCCAGCGCAGGGAGTGGCAACAGGAACCAGGATATACCACCTGGGACTGCTCTGCTGGCTGGGGAGAAGGAGAAAAGGAAGACCACCATCCCACCTCCCATGTCCTTTTGTTTGGCCCAAAGACCTCTAGGAAAAGGGACAAGCCTGAAGCAATATCAAGAAGGAGGTAAGACACGGGAGTGGGAGGGTCCTTCCCGGGCCACTCACATAGTTGGGTGCAATGTCCTGGATGGTGTGCTCAACTCCGTCATCCACTACCACCACGGTCACCCCTCGCCCGGTTACATTGCGTTCCCATACACCTGTCACATTGATGTCCCTGCCGGGGCTCCGCCGGTTATTCTGAAGGAGAGACAAGGTCAAGAACTGCTTCCAAAGCCTTGGAGATCCAGCGACACACACCATAGCCCACAGAGAAATGAAGTTACAGCTAGAAGCCCCTTTCACCCTTGGCCAACCACCAGAGGTTGGGGCTCAGTAAGTCTAGGTAGGGACAGAACCAAGGAGGGGGCGCAAGTGAGAGCTTTGCCACAGCCTTGGTCTCCAGGAAAGTTTGGCATCACTCACAGGTGATGTGAGATGAAGAGAGTTACGGGTTGGATAATATAATTATTGTGCCGGTAATGTTAGTAGTCAACATTTGAATAGTATAGTAGTGTTAACCACGTGTCCGACACTGTTCTAAGTGCTTTACATACACTAATTTATTTATCCTAATCATAACTCTACTAGGTAGGTACTATTACAATTGCCATTTTACAGATAGGGAAGCTGAGGCACAGGGGTTAAGCAGCTTGTCCCAAGGCACAGGCTAGAAAATGGCAGAGCTGGAATTTGAGCCCAGCCAAACGGGCCCTGGCATCCACATGCTATCCACTACACAGGCTCCATAGTAGAAAGCATGGGGAGGCTGAGCCCAAGGACCAAACACGCCACTCGAAGCCCACAGGCAGCGGATGGGGCAACTGAAGAGTGATCTGGTCAAAATCCCACAGAAGAGGCGTGGTAGGGGGATTCACTCGCTAGATAGTTCCAAAAACCAAACCCCTCGCTGTCGAGTTGATTCCGACTCATAGCGACCCTACAGAATAGAGTAGAACTGCCCCATAGGGTTTCCAAGGAGCTGCTAGTGGATTCGAACTACAGACCTTTTAGTTTGCAGCTATAGCTCTTAACCGCTGTACCACCAGGCCTCCCTCTAGATAGCAGATAGTTGTTATTTTTGGTGATGGGAAAGGTAACACCAAATGAAGGTGAAGTGTACACAGCTTGATAAAGCTAAACAATGTCACTAAAAAGTACACAAGAAAAAAAGGACCTGTTGGTAATAGCTATGGCATATATAATTTTGAAACAACAGCAAAACAAAACAACCAAAAAAAATATATGTGCAGGTATACAGGCATGTATGTGTATAAAAACTAAAACCAAACCCATTGCCATTGAGTCAATTCCGACTCATAGCGACCCTATAGGACAGAGTAGAACTGCCTCATAGGCTTTCCAAGGAGCGGCTGGTGGATTCGAACTGCCGACCTTTTGGTTAGCAGCTGAGCTCTTAACCACTGTACCACCAAGGCTCCATGTATGTGTATAGGCATGTATATATAGGTGTATGCATATGTACATGATATACATCTATGTGACTGTATGCACATATATTCATATGTATAACAAAGCACATAGGCGGCACAGATAGAAATACCTCTTAGACATAACCAAACTCCTCACAGGATTGGTTTTCTGGGTTTGAAGGGTTAGGACCATAGTCTTGTAGGACATCTACGTCAATTGGCATAATATAGTTGATAAAGTTACGTTCTACATTCTAGTTGAGGGAGCAGCGTTTGGGGTCTTAAAAGCTTGCAAGTGGTTATCTAAGATACAGCTAATGGTCTCTACTTGCCCAGAACAAAAGAGAAAGAAGGAAACCAAAGACTCAAAGAAGAAATTAACCTACAGGACATAGTCTACCCTGATACCAGAAGAACTAGATGATGCCTGGCTACCACTACTGACCTTTCTAATCAGGGCCATGCTAGATGGACCCAGATAGACTGGGAGAAAAATCTGGAACAGAACCTTAAATTCCTCAGCTTAACTGCTAAAAAACGTCTGCTTGAGCATTATGCTCTTTTAAGAACTATTTATATGGGATTAAATTGACAACAGCAACTCAAAAGACTAGATTAGTTAATGTTTATGGGGGAGGAACAATTCAGAAAAGGAGGGTGAGAATGTGTCATGGATTGAATTATGTCCTCCCAAAAATGTGTGTATCAATTTGGCTGGGCCATGATTCGTGGTATTGTGTGACTGTCTACCATTCTGTCATTTGATGTGATTTTTCTATATGTTGTAAATCCTGCCTCTGTGGTGTTAATGAGGGGGGATGTGCGGCAGTTGTGTTAGTGAGGCAGGACTTAATCTACAAGATTGGATTGTGTCTTGAGGCAATCTCTTTTGAGATATAAAAGAGAGAAGCGAGCAGAGAGACAGGGGGACCTCATACCACCAAGAAAGCAGTGTCAGGAGCAAAGCACATCCTTTGGACCCGGGGTCCCTGCACAGGGAAGATTGATGAGAAGGCCAACGGAGAGAGAAAGCTTTCCCCTGGAGCTGACGCCTTGAATTTGGACTTTAGCCTACTTTACTGTGAGGAAGTAAACGTCTCTTTGTTAAGGCCATCCACTTGCGGTATTTCTGTTATAGCAGCACTGGATGTCTAAGACAGAATGGTTGCACATCTTGAAGAATGTAAACAATGTCACTGAACTGGACATGTAGAAAACTTGAATTGGTGTATGTTTTGCTATGTATCTTGTCAACACAACAACAAAATAAAATTCAAAAAAAGAAAAGAAAATCACCTATGTGAGACCAAATAGTGAATGATTACTTTAGAACAAAGATGCGAATGTAAGGGCAGAACGGAAGCTAGATTAATGGAAACATAACAACCAGAAAGAAATAATAAAAATGTTCACATATTGTGAATATAACCAATGTCACTGAACAACTTGTGCAACTTGTGTAGAAATTATTGAATGGGAACCTAAACTGCTAATTTAGAAAATAATATTGACGTTAGTATTCCCTGTCCTGGAGCATAGAGAATATGATCCAGCTGGAGCTGGGCTCACAGGGGCTCACAAGGACTCACAAGGACACATCAACTGGGCCCTGAGGTATAAAGACGATAGCTAAGATAATCTTGGAAAATATCTTTTAAGGAAACTGTCACATAAAGCCAATCAAACAGAACACAAGACTTTCCACTCGTCTTTTTCTATTAGCATTTAGGGAACAGAACTTTGTTGGAACAATGAAGACCCTCCTGACTGTCGTTACTGAAACCTGTACCAATGATTGTTAAGAAAGATGATTCAAAATGTTGGATCACAGCTTCTAGCCAGTCTGTGAAAAAGGTGAAGCTTTCAATGGTTTTGCCCATTTGTAATGTTAATATATACTGATGACTCTGTAACGATTCCTCAGACTCAGGGCAGACATGCTTGTGGCAGCTTGCTTGTCCATTTTTCCATTCTTGTCTATTCTGTAATATTCCTTGGACTCGGGCAGACATGGCTATGGCGGCATGCGTGTCCCTTTTCCTACTTTTGCCTTTTTGAATATATGCCGAATAAAACTTTCTTTTTGCTTTGCTAAACTTTGCGATGTTTTTCCCCTACCACACTGCTATGTAAACCTTCACCAAAAACCCGATAAAATATTAAACAATCCGACTGAACAACTGGACACCTAGAACTTATCCATTCAAAGCTGAAAACTGCAAGGCTGCACTCACCAGGTGCCACTGCTGCGGGAACTTGGGGTCATTGAAGTGGATGCTGCGTTTGGACCGCTTTAACAGCCTCTGCTCCGAGTGCCAGCGCACTGCTTCATGCCTGGCCAGCACAGCCTCTGCCTGCTGCCGAATGGCCTCCACCTGCTGGTCCTGCCTGTGCCTAGCTGGCTGGACAAAGAGGTAGTGCCCATGGAGCTCCCCAATGCGTCCAGCATTCAACAGCCCGGCAGCCTGGGCCAAGGCATCTGCCTGCCGCTCCAGAGTCTCTTCTGTCCCCTCACCTTCTGGGCTATTCAGATGTACAGCCCAACTGAGCCCCCCTGGAACCTGGGCCTCAGGCCCTCCTGTCCCCGTCAGGCCCATGACCCAGGGAACCAGTAAGAAGAGCCCGGCTAATTCCAGCCAGAGGCAGGAGGGCAGGCCCAGGGGGGCATCCAAGTGTGGCACTTTCGGCCTCCCCTTCGGCATCAGAGCAGTAGGCTGCAAACAAAGAGAAAGGATATCAGAGATAAGAGGTGATAGGGAGACTTATGTGTTATACCTGGAAACCCCCGATTCTTCCTTTTTAATTATTTGATTCTCTCTTTTTAGTCTTGTTTATCCCTTACCAGCAGAGCTAAGCCCCCAGGTGGAATGTGGGTGAGCACTAGCCCCAGTGGCTGACCTCCCGCGGCACAGTGGCTCAATTCCCATTACACCAGATAGCCAAGCCGATTTGCCAGTTGCTAGCAGGCCTCATGCTGCTCCTTCCCATTCTTGCCACGAAAAGGGCTCAAAGTACATGTCACTACAAATTACTGGCAGAATCATGACTGTTCTTTAGGAGGACACCTCCCCAACTCTTTTTTGGAGGGGATTTCAATCTTTTCCCAGCTGACTTCTCAGTCTACTTGCCCTTAGAGCTAACTCTCCCCCAGTGGGCCCCATTCCCACCTGGACTCTGTGTGAGGTTGAGCTCCTGGTCCGGCTAACCACCTCATGCTCATTTTGTGCAAATGGAGAAAAGGCATCGCTTTTACTGTCAGTAGTGAGGTCTCTGAGCTCTGAGCACAGACTGCAGACCTGTGGGCCCCGAGAACAGAAGAAATAGCATTCCACCTAACTCAGTAAAACAAGCAGAGACTAGTCATGAATTCCAAGACCTGTAACCAAAGAATCTGGTCAATGATCCAGTGTCATTTCCAGGGATCTAAAATAGGTTAACAGGCTGGGACAGAACTGGTATGGTGAGGCCAAATTAGTATGAAACCCAGAAATCCTACTTCTTATCCTAACCACTATGCCCAGCCTCCTTTTTTTTCCTCTAGCAGCCTAGAAGAGGGTTTGAAGTGTTATCAAAAACTCCTGAAAACGTAGGTAGTACGGCTTCCTAGAATACCTGGTGGTAACTAATTTCCTGGTTTGTGTATTTCTGTAAGGATGCCAGGGGAAGTTACAGTAGGCAAGAGGTAGGGGGAAACAGGAGAAAAGTCACAAAATGCAAATGAAACTGAACGGGCATAAAGTCCAGAGCAAGATGGCATTCAGAAGAGACTAAATGATTGGAGCACAGCATTAAAGAGCTATCGCTAGTAACTAGATCAGCAGGCTGGTTTGGAAGTGAGAGCAGGCTCCAAACCCGGGACTGCCAGCCATGGTATGATAGAAACAGGGTATCAGTCTTAGGAGCTCTCAAAGAAAAGGGCCAAATTAGAACTGGCGGGCAACCCTGGGGACAGAGACAGGCAAATGGGGTGGCAGAGTGTGTGTATCTATTGGTGGCTGGGTTCCTTTAGTAGCCTCTGCTCTCTAAGCATTACCGGAAAAGGAGTATTTTATTGAAAACTCCTTGGAAAGTTTACACCACATAACACGTCCCTCCAAAAACCTCCATTCCACATCTCATTCTCTTTTCCTCTCAGACTCCCAGGCATATTCCCTCTCAAATTTCCCTCTGTCTCCCATCAACCTCAACTGTCCCAAGATATTCAGGTTTCTTCCCCAGTCTGCATACCCTAGATAGTAAAACGAAATCTAGTTCCATAGCAAGATAGTGACTCATCTAGCGGCTCTTTAAGTCTCAGTGGGTCCCACCTTAGTTTTCCGGAAGAGAAGAGAAACCTGACTTCTTCCTTGTTTAGCTTTCGTAGAGCACCACTTTACTCCTCAGGCTTCTGGGAAGGGAATCTTAAATACTCTCTGAAAGCAGATCTCAACCTTGCCCAACTGCTAGGCTGATCTTTACTGCTCTTAGTTGCCAAGAGGGAAGAATAATATAGGCGGCCTGGAGTCCAAAACTCTGCTCCCAAATGACTGTCGTTTTTGCAGCCTCCACACCCTGTGCTCCTAGAAACCAGGTTATGTACAGGGGTCTGATTTGCTGATTCTCCCTTCTCAGCATTGATTGTTCCGTGCAATGTGCCGCTCTCCTTAGAGGGACCCATGCTATCCTGTAATCCAAGACTCTGGTGCCCCGTTTCCCTGGGTTCCCCCACCCCAGGATGAAGGCGCCCTCTGTGCAGCTCCCTCACCCTCAGACACTGGCTCCCCTCAGTTCTAAACTACCCGGACTTTCACCGTCCAGCCCCCACCTAGTTTCCAACTCACCCGCTCGGCAGCAGCTGCTGCCGCCGCCTCCCTGCGGAAACTCGCGGCTTCCCGGGATCCGGAGGCGCCAGTGACAGCAGCATCACTTCCGCCCCGGGTACGCAGCCAATCAGCGGCGGGTCCCGCTGGCCAGACCTGACGGGCCGGGAGCAATCGGCGACAGAGGAGTTGGCTACCTCAGGCATATTCTGCTTATAGAGGAGCGTACGGACTTGCTAGGCTTTCCTCGCGGGGCTCCACTGCCCGGAGTTCTGGGGGCATCTTCAAGAGGGTCCCTCTCCATAGGGTTGTTCTCTTTCATGGCGTCCTCTGAAAAGGTCATCTCGATTCTGACCTTTAGAAACACCTCGTCCCTCTTCTCCCTCTGACCGCCATGGACCCCATTCTTCCTGTAACCTTCCTAGAAGGGATCTTCCCTCTGCCAAGACTCCTTCCTTCTCGCAGTCGGATCTCCCTTCTTCCCTGTGCCCGCGGAGAGTCCACTTGTATCTTCGGGGTCTTCTGCAGTATCCGGGTCCCCTAGATGGTGCCGTCTCTCGCCGCCAGAGGGCGCCATCGGGGGCGGCGCAGCGCCACCGCTGCCTCTCCTCTCCCGGCGCAAGCCTCGCCCACTTTCGCTCGTGCCGCCGGAAGTGGGAGGTGTCGCGCGCGGGCCGGCGCTTGATCCCTCCCCCCGTGGATCGGCCGCCCCCTCCCCCGCTCCGCCCGCTCAGGTGCGTCCTGTTCCTCCCCGCCTTCACTCCCGGGGCGCGCGGCGCCGGAGGTGTGTGCGGGGCGGGCGCGCGGGGAGGGGGCTGCGGTGCGAGGGCCGGAGGCGGAGGTCCGGGGAGGGGGCGTGGAGGGTGCTGTGAGGATGGGGACGGGGGTCCTGGCCTAGAAGTGGGACGTGGGCTGGTAATGGGGTGGGGGGCCGAGGCGAAGCTGTAGAGGGCGTTCAGGCTGGAGAAAGCAGTCGGCTTAGCAGTCCCCTGTTGAGGGCAGCCGTGGCCACTGGGCGCTGGTTCCTCCCATTGTCCCCTACCCGCCCGTCCCGAGTTCTCCCCCGAGGACCCACAGTTCCTGGCGTCGTCGCCTCGCTGGTCGTCGCCGCTGGATTGCGGTGCGGGAATTCGTTTTGACACACTCGACTCTGTACCCTCGCCGCAGCCTCCGGTCAGATGTACCCGTGCCCCTACCCCTTTGGGGTTTCTGGCCACGGTCTTGGATATGATCTGTGCTTTGGGGTTTCCCTTACCGGGCACCGACGACGTCCTGACCCCTGGTACTGCTGGATGCAGGATGTTTGCACCTGAGACAGCAGTAATGGCGATGTAGGGCCTATTTTCTCTCAGGAGCTTTGTGTAATGAAGGAAACTGAGGCACAGAGGGTTTCTGGATGGTGACTGAAGTGTTGACACAGCCCAGTCTCCATACTTGCCCTATGCGCTCTTCAAGGTTCCCGAGGAGTACGCATGTGATGCTGTTAAAATAAAAACAAAAACTAACGCCGCTTTTCCTCAGGGATATTCTTTTTTTGCCTTTCTCCTCACCTCAAAGGGCCATGGATTTGTTCTGCAGCACAGAGGGTGACCTTTTGATCTAAGAAAGGCCTTTATCCATTGTGTTACAATGTTTTTCAGCTTTTCATTTCCACGCTTAGAGTAACCAAGATTCTTACATCTTATACATCTTTGCACCACCGTAGTAATTCTGAAGAGTCTCTGCTTTCCTTAGTCATTGGTTATCAAACTCTTCCCACATGTGGGGAACACATTGACAGGATAAAAGGTACTTGGATTGCCCAGTATAGTATTGCTTGTCCTCTCACACACAAACACCTGCAAAAAAACTTGGCTGAAATTAATGGGAAATGCTTTTAATGTAACAGCCATAAAGTGATTTAAAAACATGAGCTGTTACTGATACTAGGCCAACCAATGGATCTTTTCATTTTATAAACAAAACTAGACAAGGTAGATATGTGGACCATTTGGAAGATTTTCACAGACTGTGGTCTTTTATTTTAAATGCTTGTATTTCTGCCAAAAGTGAAAAAAGCTTTGCACAGAGTTCTAGATCTTTACATAAATATTGTGACTCCTGAGGATTAATGTCTACTGGGATCTATTGCAATGGCTTCTTTAACACCTACTACAGAATACTTAAGTATTTTCTCTTGGAGCCTAAGAGGTTTTTTTTGTTACTGTTTTGTTTTTTGGTGTTTCTTTCCTGGGATGATGCTGTTGTATGGACATACTGAGGGGGAAAGATACATTTATTTTAATATTTTGAAACTTGTAGTCTGTAATTTTGTTTCTGGATGTACAGAGCGTGATGGCGGCATCTGAGGGAGCTGGTGGTGTGGGCAGTGCCCCCAGTCCTCCGGAATCTTCTAGTTTATGTGCTTCCAAATCAGAGGAAGGTCTTCCAGATGGTCTAAGGTAATGTGCGAGTTCTTCACTGGGAAGATTGATTTGGGTAAAGGGCTTTCAAGATGGGCTTCTTAAGGAAGCTGTATATAACTAGTCTTTCTTCTTGGCTCTAGTGACACTGCACTAGATTAAGCTTTTTAAAGGTAGGGACTATGTGTGATCCATCTTTGTATTTCTGGTCCCAGCCCTCAGCAGGCATGCTAAAATATTTGTTGAATAAATGGATTAAAATACAGGGAGTCAAACTTACATAAAAATGGAAATATTTCCTCACCCTATTTCTCATGGACTATATGTTCATTTAACTATAGCTTATATATCATACCTTTATGCATATGAGGCATTTTATATTTATGTATATCTTTATCTTTGGTAATATGACTTACTACTTCATATTTTGCCCCCCATCTGAACACTTGAGGGCAGGAATTGTGATTTAGTCAGTCTTACATCGACCAACGCATTGTCTTGTACAATGCTGAACTAAATATATATATATATGTGTATATATATATATATATATATATATATAGTATCTCACTTCTCTTCTAGACTACTTAGGACCTAATGCTATATATAATACTGTATTAACAGCTTTATATTTATTAACACATTTAATCCTCACAGCAGTCCCAGGAGGTAGGTGCTAATATTATCCTTATTTTACAGATGAGGAAATTGAGACATAGAGAGGTTAGTAACTTGCCCAAGGTTACCTAGCTATGATGGAGTCAGAATTTGAACCCAAGCTTATCTGACTCCAGAGTACTTAATAAATTTGTTTGAATGAATGTGGTGTTTGTAAATGAAGATCATGGGAAAAATGTTAAGAGCCTAACCATAAACTTGGATCTTCATGCTTTATTCATTTTGTAAATAAAATCAACCACATACTTTTAGTAATAATAATAACAGTTAAGGTTTATTGAATGTTTACTGTATGCCAGGCATTATACTAAGTGCTTTGTATGCATTATCTCATGTAATCCTCACAACAGTCCTATTGGGCAGGTTATATTATTTTTATTTTATAAATGAAATTAAGTAGCTTGCCCAAACAGCTAATAAATGATAGAGTCAGGATTCAGACTTAGTACTGTATATGCCCAAATGTGCAATTCTCCCTCCCTCCAGAATTAACTCCCAGTAAAGGAATCAGCTTAGAGTATTTATAAAGATTTCCATATTATGAGTTGTTCTCACAATTGTTTTATTTTGAACAAGTATTATAGAGGAAAGAGACACATTGACCTGAAGCCTTAGTCAGTGCTGATTTGGGATGCTTAAAGGGGTCACTTGACAGAATCAGTTTTTTGTTTTTTTTTTTTTTTTAAAGAGACAAATTCAACATAGATTTAGGCATTATAGTTATAGTCATTCTTCTGGTGTGAAAGACCTTACAGTTTTGAATGTTGGGTGTCATTATGTCTTTTAAAGATCTTTTTAAATGGCTGGGACATATGATAAGACAGCTATCCCAACGTAATGCATGTTATACTTGTTTGGATTCAGAAATCTGTACTTCAGACAACTTGAAGCGAAGATGCCATGTCCTGGAAAACTGTTGAAGAACCTAAAAAGCGATTGTGCTCAAAGACCTGTATAATGAATTTGAATCAAAGTTTTTTTTGTGAAGCACAAGAATGGGTTAAAATCAGTATTTCTAAATTAACATTTATTAAAATACCATGTATAACTTAATTGGTATGTATAAGTAAGTTGAATATTACAATTGGCATTAGACTATTTCCTCTGTATCCCCCAGAGTTTATTTAATATTCAAGTTAGCCCTCAATTTTTTTTGGATCTTCAGAGTCATTTGGAAACCCCGATAGTGGTTAAGAGGTATGGCTGCTAACCAAAAGGCTGGCAGTTCAAATCCACCAGGTGCTCCTTGGAAACTATGGGGCAGTTCTATTCTGTCCTACAGGGTCACTATAAGTCAGAATTGACTTGATGGCAATGGGTTTGGTTTGGTTTTGGTTTTCAGAGTCATTTACGTTTGGGAATTTACTGAAGTCTGTCTCCAGAACTCAGGTTATTAACCACTAAGTTATACTGCCTGCAGGTGGGATAAAAATCAATGGATAGAAACCAAGTTCTTTTCATTCTGATAATTTGGAGGGTTTGTATAGTCTATTTTTATTCTTTAAATGATTATGTTCAGAGTATTATATAATCTTTTTGATCCTATTTTAAAGTTCTTTTTCAAAGATTGGGTGAAGAGAGAAACTTTTTGTCTTATGTTTTTGATAGCCCCAAAGACCCTGCACAGAAGCCCAAGAACTTGCCTCTGTCAAGTGTAAGTAGCCAAGCGGTAACCAAGGAGAATAACAGAAATGTCCATTTGGAACAGCCAGAGCAGAATCCTGGATCATCAGCAGGTGACACTTCAGCAGTGCACCGGGTGATTTTAGGAGAAAACGTGGTAGCCACAGCCCTTTGTCTTCCTGGCAATGGGTCTCAGTCTGATTTGAAGGACTTGGCCAGCACAGCAGAAGAGGAGGGGGACACGTGCCTCCAGGAGAGCCTCCCTCCAGCCACTCAGTCTCTTAAGACAGGGTGCCATACAAAGGAGCTTGCCTCCACGAGTTCTTCTGAAGAGAAATCCCCACAAGCCTCCAACCTAAAGGAAGGTATCAGGGACACAGGCTTGGATTTCCAACCTGTAGTGCCTCCATCAAATGGGGTTGAAGGAGTCAGAGAGGATCTGGATGATGATCAGGATAGCTCTTCCCTGAAGCTTTCTCAAAACATTGCTGTACAGGTCAAGTATCCAGTTTCTACTACTCAAATAGAATTGGGGGGTTTTTTGAGGGTAGGAGACATTTCTTCCTATTTGGTGGAGAACTATGCTGTCACATTGTTTTTATTGGTAACCATCATACTATTATCATATAGTGCCATGAAATGACTTCATTTTGGCATTCAATAAGTAATAAAGCCAGTAGCCAGGGTCTAATCTTAAGGTGACTAGGAATTTTATGACCTGCAAATCATCTCTTTCACAGAATAATTGATGAGTGCAGGTTGTTAGCATTCATATTTCCTGTCTTTGTCCTTGAAGGAGGAATCCTTGTTAATTCTCTGACCTACATCTTATGAAGTACCGTGTATCCTGTTTTCTAGTGACTGATGTACTTTGTCATAGGAGGAAGTATGGGCACAATAGGTTGCAGGAGGCAAAATTCTTGTCTCAAACTTAAGACTTCCTCTCAGTTAGTTGTTGAGTCTCTAGGTTATTTTCTGGGATAAATGATTAATGCATTGTTGTTGTCAGTATTCATTTGCCAGAACTACGTTGCTTCCCTTGCTATGGAGCTCATAAAGGGAAAAGAGTGCAAGAAGTTAGCTTAGTTACTTGTGGCAGATTTCTAGATGGAAGTACTAGATTAAGTCTGCCTCTTAAAGTGTCTAAACAGTTCTGACTTTAATTGTTTCTTTCTTTGTAGACTGACTTTAAGACAGATCAGTTAGAGATAAACACAGATCACGATATTGAAAGGAATCTGGTAAGTATTTGAATTATCATTGTTGATATATTAAAACAGAAGATTTGGAGTCATACTGTAGGCTGGGTGAAAAGCAGAGTAGAGAGAAACGCTAAGGAAATGAAGAGTAAATCACCTTTTATTGAGTGTTTAAGCACTTTACATATTTTGTCCTCACAGTTGTAAGCTGGAGTTTGGATAGCTATAGAGCAATTGAAGGAACCAACTAAGATGGCCTAAATAAGCTTTAGCGTCATTCTAGAGAAGGGATGGAAACCTGGCAAGTCAATGACCAAAAGAAGCCCAGGGTTGTGTTTTCTTTGGCTGTGTGGTGGTGAGACTAGGTAGGTGTTAAGCTTGGTGGCAATGCAAGAAACTTGGCCCTATTTTATTTTATACTCTTTTCATGCATTTATGCTAATTGCCCACTACCTGCATTTCAGATTGTGACTCCTGATCCTAAGGTACCAACCGATGAGACAAAGTAACAGTGTAGAACAACTCTTTAGCATGTTAAGCTGAGATGAATTGGATCAAGTTATTTGCTGTATGCCTTTAATTTATCTAAATATTTGTACTAAAATTATGTACCTTGAGATTTGTTTCTGTGATAGGAATTTTTTTTCCTCATCTTATGTTATTCTAAAGATGTATCACGGACAGAGATGGCACCATATGGAAGTAAAAGGAATGAGCTGCAGTTAAAAAAAAAAAAAAAAGCAAAAGAATAATCTACTGATTTCGTCCATTGATTCTTGATCTTTCTTTAACTTTTCATGGGTTAAGATCCTCTTTCCAAATCTTTTGAAAACTTTGAATTCTCATCTCAGAAAAACATACAAACACACACCCGCACAACATTCTCACAGAGTTCAAAGATGCCCAGAGGCCCATCCATAGGCCCCAGGGTCAGAATCCCCATAAAGATGTGATGCTGCGGAATCATCTGTTGGGGGAGCCTTGGCCACCTTTCAGTACATGGACTGAGGACTAACTCATCCCAAAGCTAACATCACATGTTGAGAGCCTATTTTTTATTTTCATAATGTGATACATTTTTGCCCCATTCACTTCTAAAACCTTTCTTTTCTTTGAAAACAGTTATTCTTTAATGAAAAAACTGACTTTAATGCTCTAAGATTAAATTTTATATATGGGCTTAGTTATCTGGTGCTGCTGTAACAGAAATACCCCGAGTGGATGGCTTTAACAAAGAGAAATTTATTCTCTTACAGTTTAGGAGGCTACAAGTCCAAATTCAGGGTGCCAGCTCCAGAGGAAGTCTTTTTCTCTGTGTTGGCTCTGGGGGAGGGTCTTTGTTATCAATCGTCCCCTGGTCTAGGAGCTTCTCAGTGCAGGCACCCTGGGTCCAAAGGATGTGCTCTTGGTGGTATGAGGTTGCTCTCCTTTCTGCTGTGTTTTCTCTTTTGTATTTCAAAAGAGATTGACTCAAGATACAATGTAATCATGTAGATTGAGTCCTGCCTCATTAACATAACTGCCCCTAATCTTGCTTCATTAACAGTATAAAAAAAACAAACAAACAACAACCCATTGCCTGTAGAGTTGATTTTGACTCCTAGCGACCCTATAGGACAAAGTAGAACTGCCCCATAGAGTTGCCAAGGAGCGCTTGTGGATTGGAACTGCTGACCTTTTGGTTAGCAGCCATAGCTCTTAACCAATAAGCCACAAGGGTTTCCCATTAACATTGTAGAGTTTAGGATTTACAGCACATAGGATAATCACATCAAATCACAGAATGGTAGACAACCACACAATACTGGGAATCATGGCTTAGCCAAGTTGACACACTTTTGGGGGACTCAGTTCAATCCATAACAGCTACCTTATACCAAATATGTTTTAGATTGACCCTCTTTAATTTAGTGACCCTTTGATAGGTAACTATTGCTTCTCTTAATTTATTGTTATGGAGGAGGCAGAGCTCAACTGTAGTCCTCAGAAGTCTTACTTCTGATCCCTACTTTATACGAGAAGTTGCTGAGTTGCTTAATCTGAATATGAGGGCCTACAGACCTCTTTAGGTGTATCTGCCAGTTTTAGTGCTAATATACTGGTAAAAAAAATCCTATTCCTCGATTTTTTTTTTTTTTTTTTTTTAAGTAGGTGATCTGCTGTTTGTTTTTCTCTCTCTCTCTTAGTGGGTGGTAAAATGCCCTCTTCGCATATTCCCTAGAGTGGGGGTTGGCAAACTTTCTGTGAAGTATCAGATAGTAAATATTTTAGGCTTTGCAGCTTATATGGGCTCTGTTGTAGCCACTCCACTTTACTGTAGTAGTGTGAAAGTAACACGTAAACCAATGAATATGACCATGTTCCAATAAAACTTTATTTACAAAAATAGGCTATGGGCTAGATTTGGTTCATAAGCCATAGGTTGACTACCCCTGCCTTAGAACAGTGTTGTACAATAACACTTTGATGATGGAAATGTTCTGTATCTGTGCTGTCCAGTATGGTAGTCACTAGTCACATGTGTCTATTGAGCACTGGAAATGTGGCTCGTGTGACTGAGGAGCTGGATTGTTTTAATTTAACTTAATTTGAATTACTTTAAATTTACATAGCCATATGTGGCTAGTGGCTGTAGGATTGGACAGTGCAGCCCTAGAGCTCTGCACAGTGCCTTGTACAGGCACTTGCTGAATGTTTCTTATGATTAAATTGGGAAATCAACTTTTCTGTTGTTACCTATAGGATAAAATGATGTCAGAGAGGACCCTGTTGAAGGAGCGTTACCAGGAGGTCCTAGACAAGCAGAGACAAGTGGAGAATCAGCTCCAAGTGCAATTAAAGCAGCTTCAGCGAAGGAGAGAAGAAGAAATGAAGAATCACCAGGTATTCTGCTTATATTGAATTGTCAATAAGTAAAGCAGCAGTCCCTGATCAAACTTTTATTTTGGTTCTGAATTAATAGAAATAGAAAAGAAATATTTATTTTTTAATGACTGTCATAGAAGTTTAAGGATAAAAAGAACCTTTGAGGGCATCTTGTCCAAACTCTACCTCCTATTTTAATTCAGAGAGAAAAGGATATTTGTTTAATGTATTTCATTGACATAACTACCTGGAAAACATTTTATTAGACTCCTATTGTTGTTGTTGTTGTTCTTAGGTGCTGTTGAGTCAGTTTTGACTCATAGCAACCCCACATAACAAAGCAGAACTGAGCCAGGGTTTTCTTGGCTGTGATCTTTACGGAAGCAGATCACCAGGTCTTTCTCCCACAGAGCTGGGTGGGTTTGAACTGCCAACCTTTCGGTTAGCAGCTGAGTGCTTAACTGTTGCACCATCAGGGCTCTTAGTTGGATTAAAAATTTACATAGAAAAACTAGAAATATTATAAAAATTAGGAGAATATTTATACACTCTCAAGTGGCAAGAGGTCACTTTAAGCATGGCAGAAAAACCAGAAGCCATAAAAAAAAAAAAGTTTATATAGTCCATTTAATTAGTATATAATGAAAAATGGTATGGCAAGTGATATAAAAAACAGTTGAAAAATTAATGTTAGACTGAGAGAAAATATTTATAGCACATCTGACAAAGGGTTTGGTAGCCATGACATTCTGAGATTCTTACTAATTAATGGGAAAAGGCTAACAGTCTAGAAAAAGACCAGGAAAGGTTATTGTATTCATTTTCTATTGCTGCTGTAACAAATTACCATGACTTTAGTGGCTTAAAACAACCCTCATTTGTTATCTCACAGTTCTGTAGTCCGACATGGGTGTCAGTGGGCTAAAATCAAGGTGTTGACAGGGCTGCCTTCCTTCTGGAGGCTTTAGGGGAGAATCCCCTTCCTTGCCTTTTTTAGCTTTTAGAGGCTGTCCCCGTATTCTTTGACTTGTGGCCCCTTCCTCAATCTACAAAGTAAGCAACACTGCATTTCTGACTATTCTTCCCTAGTCCTGTCTTCTGACCACTGCTAGGAAAGGCTCTCTACTTTCCAGGACCCATGTGATTAGATTGTGCCCACCCAGATAATTCTGAATAATCTGCCCATCTCAAAGTCCTTACCTTAATCACATCTAGAAAGTCCCTTTTGCCATGAAAGGCAACATATTCACAGGTTCTAGGGATAAGGATGAGACTATTTTTAGGGAGCTATTATTTTGCCTATTACAATTATAAATAGTAATTCACAGAAGAGAAAAGCAAATGGATGATAAATATATGAAAAGAAGCTCAGCTTCACTGGTATTCATTCATTCATCCAGCAAATATTTTTTGAGTTCCTGATGTGCTCTAGGCTCTGGAGATTTAGTGGTGAATAAAACATATTTTCTGCCTTCATTGAATACTTATTCTAGTTGGAGAGACAGTAAAAACAATAAAGAGTAGGATTTAGGGAAATGCACATTAAAATTATTACCTAGTATTTCTCGCCCCACCAGCAAGAGATTGGCAAAAATGAAATACGTTGTCAAGGTTGAGGGCAAATGAACCCTTTCAGACATTATTAGTGGGGAATATGAATTGTTACAACATTTTTGAAAAGTTATTAGGAATTTTTAGTTAAATTTTTAAATATTCATACACTTTGGCCTAGCAGTCTCATCCTTAGGAGTCTATTCTACAGAAATAAACATTTTTATATGAAAATGTACACATATAAGGATGTTTATTGCAGTACTACTTGTAGTTATAAAAAAAAAAAAATAACCAACCCAATGGACTTTCTAACAGAGAATGGTTAAATAAATTGAATATATCTATATTGTATAGTATTATGCAGATACTTTTGAGTTGGACCTATATTTATTGACATGGAAGTATGTACATGTCAAGTGAAAAAAAAAAACCCAGGATGTAGAATAATGTATATGAAGTTATCTCATTTAAAAAAACCTAAAAAGCAAAGAAATATGTAAGCATAACTGTATTTTTGTGAGAGTGGAAAAAGATTAATAAAAGCAATACATTGATTACCTTATGGGTATAATTTGTGTGAATTAGGATATGACTGTTAACTTTATCACCTCTTTATTGTTTGACTTGTTATTACAAGTATATATTGAAAGTACATATATATTTTAGTTAAATATTAAAAAAAACAACTCACACATAATAAAGTAGAACAGTTTCAAAACAAAACAAGACCGTATTTGTTGGAGGTAGCAAACTCCCACCCAGTGCAAGAATGCCTTCTTCAGCATTACTGACAGGTGTTTATTCAGCCTTTATTTGAACACCAGTAAAGGAGAGCTTGTTGTTTCACAAGGCAGTATATACCATTTTTGAACAGTTGTGGTTGTTAGAAATTCTTTCTTCTGTTTAGTTGAAATCTGCTTTACTGTAACTTCCTCCCTTAGGTCTGAATACTGCCTTTTGGAGATACTCATAAACTAAATTTCTTCAGTTCAATTTGAATTCACTAAAATCAGTATGTGAATTTATGATAGTTGAAAATAACCTTCAGATGAAAAGAACTAATTCGTTTCCTTCTTTTTATTTGTGTGACTGTAATTGTGTGGGAACCAGGAGATACTAAAGGCTATCCAGGATGTCACAATAAAGCGGGAAGAAACAAAGAAGAAGATAGAGAAGGAAAAGAAGGAATTTTTGCAGAAGGAGCAGGATCTGAAAGCTGAAATTGAGAAGCTTTGTGAGAAGGGCAGAAGGTAAATGATGCTGTGAAGAATAAAAGCCATTCCTGTGCTTATGTGTATGTACGTAAGGGGCCAGTCCCGTTTGTGTTTCTAGTGGCAGACCTTTTCTTTCAGTCTAATTTTTATTTGAAAAACAAGTGTAGAAATAAAAATCTTCCAATTAAGTATAACCTAGGGTGCTTTTTCGGCACCCTAGGTTATACTTAATAAACAAAAGTTTCAGAAATTTTCATTAATATCTTGAAATAATAGCAGCTAATTGTTGGGTCCCAAGTATGATCAAGATTTTGATATGCATCTGATACCTATTTCACTTGCTTTATAACCTGATTTTTTAAAGGCTATGAGGATACTTTTTGTGTATGGTTAAGTTTTTTATGTGGTGTGAGGTTTGAGTCTAGTTTCATTCTTTTGCATGTGGAAATCCAGTTGTCTCAGCACCATTTATTGAAGAGATTGTGCTTTCCCTGTTGCATGAACTTAGCACCCTTGTTGAAAATCAGTTGACCATGGATGCGTGTGTTTATTTCTGGACTCTCAATTCTATTCCGTCGGTCTATATGTCTATTGTTATAACAGCACCAGACCTTTTTTATTTAATTTTAATAATTTATTTTATTTTTGTTGTTGAGAATATACACAGCAGAACATACACCAATTCAACAATTTCTACATGTACCGTTCAGTGATACAGTACCAGACTGTTTTGATTACTGTAGCTTTATAGTATGTTTTGAGATGGGGAAGTTTGAGTCCTCCTACTTTGTTCTTTTTCAAGATTGCTTTGGTATTTGGGGCCTCTTGCAATTTCATATATTTGAGATTTGGTTTTCCATTTCTTCAAAGAAGGCTGTTGGAATTCTGATGGGGATTGCATTAAGTGTATATATATATATAGAGAGAGAAAGAGAGAGAGAAAAAATACATATATATATTTAATTTTTATTCTTTTGTGTTTTCCCACAACAACTGAGCTCAATGCTGTATATCTGGTAATTATTTGATAAGTATTTGTTGAATCACTGGACTGGAAGTTAAGACAATTTCTCTTTTACCTTAAGTCTCTTGGTGTCCTAGTTTTCTAAGATCCCTTAAATAGGGACAATAACAATGCTGTCCTTTTTTGGTTTCACATTGGTATTATATGAAGGTGAAGTTACTTAATAGAAATCTCAGTGCTTTGTATTACTTGGAGGTAATCCCTATGTATTTCAACGTAATTGTAGTTTTTAAAGAAGACACCCTGAATTGACCATAAAAAAGATCAAATATCCAGTTTAGTCATCTATTTCATTTTTTTCCTCTGGATACCTGGCTCCTTTGTCACTGAATTGCCTTGCTTTTGTGGCAGCATCTTCTTTCTAGTTCCCAGCTTGAATCCTTCAAGGTTATTGCTGAGATTAGGGAAGGTGAGGCCTCCACGGTAGTGCTCTCCCAGGGCAAAAACTGTTTTTAAACTCCCTGCCTTTAACAGGGAGCCCTGGTGGCGCAGTGGTTAAGAACTCGGCTGCTAACCAGAAGTTCGGCAGCCTTTAACAGTGACTCGTTGATAATGGTGGCAAGCAGGTGTTTTCCTGAATAAAAGATGGTGAGCTTGTGCTTTGAAGGACATCATCAATTGATTTATATTCTCATTGAAGTAGCTTGGGACAAGTGGCAAAAAAACTGCAGTATCAAGCAAGATTTTTTTTTGTTTTAATGCTCTGAGTTTGCTTGATGAACTCATAGAATAGAGTGACAGTAAGTAGCAGATGAAGGAACACATTGCTGAGAGCTTTACTCTGGATGTGATATAAGAGTCTGTGCTAAATTGAAATCAGCAGGGTACGTGAGGATTCATTTTGGACATTTCTTACCAGATAATGTATTTAATTCATATGCTCTGAAGTCCTAATAACTTTTGCCTAGCAATCAACAAATCTAGTGACTGTTTCTTAGGTACAAAGCAGTGAGCCAGGCTGTTGGAACATCCCATATTCTGAGCATGGCCTTCAATCTTTCCAACTTTCTGTCCCATTCCCAGTTAATCTACACTTTGACCATATCAAGTCTTCTTTCTTGTTCAGTGACCTCACTTCATCTTCTGCCAGTCTTTCAACTCCCTGGAAACATGCCTTTCTCTAGCCAGCCTAGACTCATGGTCCATTATTTGGATATCTCTCTTACAGTTACCATCAATACTGTTGATGTTCCTTTCATTTCATTTTCTTGAAGTACCCCAGTACTGAGTCAGTTCAGCCATCTGACCTCTCCATTCTTACACCTAGGCTGCTGAGTGCTGCTGGAGAAAATCATACAACTATAAATTTATGACTTCCAGTATCACCTGAAGCCTGAGGGCTCCCCTTTCCTCTGAGGGCTGTCCCAGACTTTGACTTCTCTTTCTAAACTTCCTGTCTCCACCATTTCCCTCCTTAGTCTTAGCAGATGATCTTGCCTTTTGTTTCACTGTATAAATAGAGGCTGTCAAGTAAAACTTCCTTCAGTTTCCTAACTACCAGCAGATACATCCTTTCTTCTTGGTCCTTATACCTGAGTCTAAACTTTGTATCTGTGACTCCCATACCCTATTGCTTCTATCATTTTTCTATAAGTGGCACCCCTGTCTACTTCAGTGCCTATGCCAAATAACTGGGAGTCATCATAAACTCCTGTCTCTTAGACACCCCCATTTTTACCAAGTCCTGTAGATTCTTAATATTTCATCACCCCTTCCTCTCTATTTACTCTGCCACTGTCTTAGTTCAGGTTTTCATTAGTTTTCCCAGATTACTGAGGTAGGCTACTGATCTTTCTTTGCCTCCAGTCGGCCTCCCTTATAATTAGTATACTGCTACCATAGAAATCTAAGATACAAATCTGATGTCATTTCCCTGCTTAAAATATTTTATAGTTCTGTATAGTTTTAGGGTAAATTTTAAACTCTTTAGCTTAATATAAAGGAGCCCTGGTGGCACAGTGGTTAAAAGTAACAGCTGCTAACCAAATGGTCGGCAGTTCAAATCCACAAGCAGCTCCTTGGAAACCCTTTGGGGCAGTTCTACTCTGTCCTGTATGTCAGCTATGAGTCAGAATCGACTTGACAGCAACAGGTTAAATATTTGCTTATTTCATATGAGATCATGCATTATTTGTCCTCTTGCAACTGACTTATTTCACTCAGCGTAATGTTTTCAAGGTTCATCCATGTTATGGCATGTATCAGGACTTCATTTCTCTGTATGGCTAAGTAGTAGTCCATTGTATGTATATACCACGTTTTGTTTATCCATTTATCTCTTTCCATCTTTTGACAATTGTGAATAGTGCTGCAGTGAACATTGGTGTACATGTGTCTGTGTAGCTTCCTCCAAGTCTCTTGAGTATATACCTAGGAGTGCAATAGCTAGGTCATATGGTAGTTCTGTGTTCAACTTTTTGAGGACTCCATACTTTTCCACAGTGGCCGTACCATTTTACATTCCCACAAGCAATAGATGAGGGTTCCTGTTTCTCCACAACCTGGACAACACCTGTTGTTTTCTTTTTTTTTTTTGATCATTACCATTCTAATGAGGATGAGATGGTATCTCATTGTGGTTTTTATTTGCATCTCCCTAATGGCTAATCGGAGCCCTGGTGGCACAGTGGTTAAGAGTTCAACTGCCAACCAAAAGATCAGCAGTTCGAATCCACCAGCTACTCCTTAGAAACCCTATGGGGTAATTCTACTCTGTCCTGTAGGGTAGTCGATTCCAACTCACAGCAACAGGTTTAATGGCTAATGGGGAGGAGTCCTGGTGGTGCAGGGTTAAGCTCTCAGCTGCTAACTGAAAGGTCTGCAGTGGGTTTTGTTTCGTGGAATGGCTAATAACTTTGAGCATCTTTTCATGCGTTTGTTGGCCATTTTAATATCCTCTTGGGTGAAATGTCCGTTAATTCCATTGCCCATTTTTTTTATTGTATTGTTTTTTTGTTATTAAGTTATGAAAATATTTTATATTTTTTTGATGTTAAACTCTTACTGGATATATGGTTCCCAAAAATTTTCTCCAATTCTGTAGGTTGTCTTTTCACTTTTAAAAAAAAATTTTTTTTTATTGTACTTTAGGTGAAGGTTTACAGAACAAATAATTTCTCATTACACGGTCAGTACGCATAAAATTGGTTTATGACATTGGTTAACAACCCCACGACATGTTAACACTCTCCCTTCTCGACCTTGGAGGACCTTTTTTTTTTTGATGAAAATATACATAGCCAAAGATACACCATTTCAGAAATTTTTACATGTACAATTCAGTGACATCGAATACGTTCTTCCATTTGTGCTGCTATTCTCACTGTCCTTTTCCAAATTATTCTATCACCATTATCTTCAACTCACTGCCCCCAGGCTTCCCATCAAACCTTTTGAGTTGCTGTTGTCAGTTTGATCTCACATAGATAATTCTTTTTTTGTACTTTAAATGAAGGTTTACAGAACAGAATAGTTTCTCATTAAACAGTACACATATTGCCCTTTGACAAATGGTTAACAATCTCACATGTCAACACTGTCCTTTCTCAACCTTGGGTTCCCTATCACCGGCTTTCCTGTTTCCTCCTGCCTTCTATTCCTTGTCTCTGGAATGCTGTGCCTCATTAGTCCCATTTGGTTTTATGGGGCTGTCCAGTCCCCGGCTGAACGGTGAACCTCAGGAGCGACTTCACCACTGAGCTAAAAGGATGTCTGGGGGCTGTACTCTCAGGGTTTCTCCAGTCTCTGTCAGGCCAGTAAATCTGGTCTTTTTTTGTGTGTTAGAATTTTGTTCTGCATCCTTCTCCAGCTCTGTCCAGGACCCTCTGTTGTGATCCTGGTCAGAGCAGTCAGTGGTGGTAGCCGGGCACCATCTAGCTGTTCTGGACTCAGTTTGGTGGAGGCCTTGGTAGCTGTGGTCCATTAGTCCTTTGGACTAATCTTTTCTTTGCATCTTGTTCTGTTCATTCTCCCTTGCTCCGGAAGGGGTGAGACCAGTAGAGTATCTTAGATG